TTAAGCTTAGACTCTCTATTATATACTACTTATAGACTAATAGTTAGATAGAAAGAGTAAATTAAATAGTAAAATAGTACCTACGATACTACGTAAACTACTAGTAAGATAACTAAGTAAGACTACTACTAATAATATAGCTAGTATATAATAATATAGCGTACTCTACGACTAACGAAATACTATTCTTTATAAATTATAGATATAATCTAGTAGTATTCGGAGAACTAATTAATAAGATAGCTATAGTAGAATTAGCGAAGCTAAAAGCTAGTAGACTAAGAAAGTTATATATATAATTAGCTAGAGATATTAACTTTATTAATCTATATATAAAGAAATATTACGATAATTACTATAGAGAGGGACCTAACTTTAAGAAGAGAGAAAAGATTTACCTATTATAACGTAATATTAAAACTAAGCGACCTAGTAATAAATTAGACTACTTATAACTAGGACCGTTTAAGATTAAGGAAAAATTAGGACTAGTAAATTATCGCTTAAAGCTATCTAAAAGTATATAAAAACTCTATATAGTATTTTATATCTCGTTACTCGAACTAATACTAGATAACGCCGAAATTATAACTAATATAGAAATCGAGGAAACTAAAGATAAATATAAAGTCGAACGAATCCTATCGGATAGATAGTATAATAGTTAGTAATAACTCTTAGTTTAGTAGAAAGGGTATCCTATTTTAGAAAATATATAAGAACCTATCTAGAACCTAAAGGGCTACTACTAGCTTATTTAATAGTATTACTAATAGGCGAAAAGGACCCTTATATAATAGAAAGTAAGGAGGGTACGAAACCGGATTTATCTTAGAAAGAAATAGGAAGATTAATAATCTCCGCTAATATCTAATTAAAGTTCGGATAATCGGTAGTAATAGTAAGCTACTTAAGGTCGAGAGTAGAAGGGGAAGCTTACTCTAGGGATATTTATTTTTTATTAAAAATTTAAAGAAGTTTAGTATTATATTCCGATATTTTAAAACCCTTTTATTTTAGAAAGGATATTTATTTATATAATCGATATTACTTAGATATTACTTCCTAGTATTATTTTTATTTATTTAATAATTTTTAATATAGCTCTATAAGATAAGCTTATAGTTCGCTTAACTCGGGTTCTAATAAATCGAGTTTACTTTTATTTATTTTAAGATCCGAAGAAAGTTTAGTTTCGGTACGATATAATAAATCCTATTCCTAACTAGTATAGAAGTTACGCTTATATAAATAACCCGCGCGAGTATATAAGATATATTTCGAATATTAATAAGAACGGTCTATTAGATAAGTAATATCTACTAATTTATAATAATCGTAAGAAATAGAGATAGTAAAACTATTATCTTTAATATAAGTCGCCTAATAATAATAAGTATTAGAAGAATCGGAGGGAAGTTTAGGAGTAAGTAAAAAAATAGAGTTAGCCTTTCGTTTAGGTATAATAAGAAAGTATTATTTTAAGGAAAAGAAATCTATTACCTACCTAAAGGGGGATATTATAGCTTTATAAGTCTCGGGGACGAAACTCCTAGGAAGAGGGGAGATAATATTATAGACCTATCTATTACTAATTAGTAGTAACCTATTAGGTATACTAATAGACTATTAAGAGCTAACTAGGATACCTATTAGTAGATTACGTATAAGCTTACTAAGTAAGAGTATAATCCGCCCTAAGCGGATCTACCCTATAAAGGATTTCCGATATATAGATTGCTTTACGTACTAGATAACTACTACTTAGTATTACGTGATTATATAGGTAGTAAAAGGGTAGTAAGTAGATCGGTAGAATCCGCTAAGGCGATTCTACTATTCTACTATCTACTATTCTATATAGGAAGAACTTAGGGATATATAAGGACACTTATTTATATATCTAGTTTAGTTCTTCGTCTTTAATTATATATTATTACTTATATTTACCTTTTAGATTACTATAGCTCTTTACTTAATTATAACTTGATAATACTTACGAGTAGACTAATACTCCGGTATAGATCTACTCGGCGCTCTACCTAGTATTAGTTCCTTAATCGCTCGAAAGGACTTAGGCTACTATAAGGCCCTACGCGGCATTAGCTTAGTTAAGACCGGATCATTGACGTTAGACCATTCGAGGAGTATTAAGGCAAGTATACCCTGAACCTACCTAACCTAACCGTGACCAGTTAGCCAGTGCGTAATAGTAAGCTTCGTTAATTAAAGTATTACTTTATATAAGATTAAGGAGTCCTCTAAGTCCTCTTAATTCCGCTATAAACTAGGTTTTAAAGGTATACTAGATTACTATATAATCCGCCGCCTTTCTCGAGAGAGAAGTGAGCGAATTACGCGCTACTAACGAGAAGTAGAAGCAAAAGCGTACTAGATCCCGGAGGTAGATACCCGCTAAAGAAGGCCTCTTAGTATAAGAAGCTTCTTAATTGATTCCTACGCTCGTAGAAGTAGATAAAGTATACTATACCGGTGCCGGTATGTTTGAAGAACCGGCTTTAGAACTACGTACGCGGGCTATACCAAGGTGTAGTGGGTGTAGAGAAACTGGACATAGATTCAATAGATGCCTAGCTAGATAGATGATTTTAGTGTATTTAATTTAATGGCGTTTTGGTAGAGAGAAATGCATTTCCAATTAATAAGTTGGGTGGGGTGGGCGGCTCGGTGGTGTGGGCGGTTCGGTGGTGAAATACGTTATAAGTCTCTCTATAGCTAAGCTAGATATAGAAAGTTAAGACTTCTTTAATATATCATATTTTTTTACGCTAAATTATTAAGCGGCGGTTTGGCCGAGTGGTCTAAGGCGATTGACTAGAAATCAATTCCGTTCGCGGGCGCATGTTCGAATCATGCAGCCGTCGTGCTCATGTCTTTTTTGCACGGCATTGCCGTGAAAAGAATATGCGGTTTTCACCAAGTAACCGCGCCAAGCGCCCAACACACATAATGTATATGCGCGCCCCAGTCAACGATAATTCCAATTGAAGGATAAATGTAAAATTAGGTACCTTTTGTATGGTATGCCTATATAAAAGGTACAAACACGATAAGTTCTATTTTTCTAGACCCTTAAAATAAGGAAATAAGAAATGGGTGGACTAATATATAATATAAGTGTGGTCAAACTACTAGTTATACTACGTTAAATTATAAATACTTAACAAGAAGGATGAGGAGTATATTAAAAAGCGCCGTATATAAAGATTGTATACAGAGATTCAAATCTTTTATTATTTTCAGTGCACTTAAATAAACTAGAGCCCTCTTAAATAATATATATAGACATATTAGTTATTCCCTACCCTCATAGAGGGTTCAAAAAATAGATATTGTGGTTTGTATGCTGTGTACCTTTTGAGTGGTATACCTATGTAAAGGGTACCTAGATTTACGATTTATCCTATAGTAGGGATTATCGTTGGCTAGGGCACACTCATATACAGTATGTGTATTAGGCGCTTGGTACGATTACTCTAGATGGATTAAGAAATTAATGTAGGAAGATCAGCCTCTTCCCTGATAACTCACTTATTTTTCTATTCAACTATCAAGCGGCGGTTTGGCCGAGTGGTCTAAGGCGATTGACTAGAAATCAATTCCGTTCGCGGGCGCATGTTCGAATCATGCAGCCGTCGTGCTCATATCTTTTTTGCACAGCCTTGCTACATAAAAAGAATATATAGTTTTGACCAACTACTCTGGACTTATTGCTTTATTATAAATAAGTCTGTCTTGTCTGTACCTAGATAGAAATGATTTCCAATAGGAAGTTAAATCCGCCCACTGACGTATCATTTCTTTTATTATTGATGGAGCTACTACCGGGGAGAAAGCAGAGGAAGCAATCTTGATATTCAACCTATGGGAAAGCAGGGTATTTATACCTTGTATCTAGTAAACAAGCGCTCAGTCTGCAAGCAAACAACGGGAGATAGGGTCATCCCAAAATTATTATAGAAATATATATTTACTTCAATTTTTCGGTGTTAGAATGATTGTCATCTATTTTGAACATAGCCAACGTATGTACTTGAGGTCCTGATGGTAGTTTCTACTCCGGGTTTATGGTCTTTGTATTTATAGGGACAAATCCGGAGAAAGCAAAAGGCAACAGGACAGGATACAAGGTTGTTGTTAAAAATGGAAAGTAAGGACGGTCCATTAATAACGTATTACGAAATCCCATCAATTGAGGTCGTTTTACCGCAGCCGGAAGGATACAGATCATTCGAATGAACATTTCAAAAGCAAATACACAAGAATACCCAAATAGTCGGTATATAGGGTGGCTCTGTAGTGCGTCGGGAACACTAGAGGAAAGGTTCTTCTCAACAGGTCGTTTGGATACTCATTTGTGCTATGACGGATCCTCCAGGCAGACGAGGCTGCGCTTTGACAATCCAGAAAGCACAAAATATTCATGTGGGGCAATTGGAGTTCATCGGATTGAAGTGGTCGTCCCATACCCCCATATGAAGAATTATTCAACGCTGCATTCTAGCATGATTGGCTCCCAACCAAGCACATCTGAAGGCCAGGTCGGCTGTATGTTCGGCCTCTGGCTGCTATTTGAGAATAAAGTCAGGAGGAATCTACAAAAAATGTCTTGCCTGTTTCTTAAAAGAATTTCATCTAGCACTTGTATGGATGTTTCATTGTTTTTGTCTTATTTGAAATGCCTGGCAGTCGCCCGAAAGCTCTGCAAGCTTTCAAGGGACCCTTTCAGCAGTCCTTTGGGATTTCTGGCTTAGGTAGAAGGATACTCGGTCTTCTGGTTTAATAATGGTTAGTTCATTCGAGGACTAGATAGGATATCCAGCGTGGAATGTATTGTTCCCCACGGTACCTACTATCTTCAATGCCAAGAAAAGCACCCAAGCTCAAAAAAGTCCCAGAGACTGGATATCTCAATCTTCCAATTAGTTCACATCAAGGTCTTGACTGTCACGATGTCTAAATAGGAGTTTTTCCTTTGGTCAATAGCGAATCCCACGCATCGTGTTTGAAACGAAGTCATTCATACCGGCATGTACTGCACGCCATGCTTCCGCAAGACGTTCATCTTTCCACTCGAAGGTCAGTCCGCCTGGAACCGATGCGTCGTTAATATTCCAAATTATGCGAGACGCTCGATTGTCGGGGTAGATTTCGAAGCGAATTTTATAGTATGAAGGATCTGTGATATCATATCTCCCACTCTTCCTGACTTCATCGAAGCTCATACTCCACTCAAAGACGTGGTCGTGGTAGTGCCGGAGTGGGTAGGGCTGTGAGTCTAGACCTCGGAAGGAAATCATAAGGTCGCTTTCTGAGTCTGGACTGACGGTGATTTCTAGCCTGTACTTATAGTCCTTATTGTCATACTTGCCGACGTAGCATTGAAGGGGCAACGGCGGTGCTCCTTGAATTCGCTCCTCAGCCAACCTATTATGTAGTGTAGCAAATTGTTCAAGTGTTCGTCTTTTAGCTTCTTCTGCAAGTCTCACATAATCGGTGGGGTTAGTGAAGTCGAAGAGGCCCTCGATCAGGAGTCGGGCAATCCAGTCAGCAGCATCGCTCATCGCAGTGGTGTTCATGAGGACTATAACAGCTGACTGTGACTCAGGAAAGATAGCAACGAATGAAGAGTATCCCGGTCCTCCGCCTTGGTGATAAATCATGAGCCTAGACTGGTTTCCAGCCCCGAACACAGGTTGCTCAGACATTTCCCAAAGTCCTGAGTTTCCACCGAGCAGGCCCACAATTCCAGGAAGCTGTGCTCTCGCCCAGCCAAATCCGTACGATCGTTCCAATAATGATGGATTCTTCATTGCGATATGGTTGCTAATTATATGCGGAATTTGTTTCAAGACTGTGTTGTTGGATGCCGCGGTATTCTGGCTCGCAGCCAATGTTTCTTTGGCCCATATGAGAAGATCACTCACGGTCGAATAAGCTCCACGTGAACCTTCGAATGATGTATTCGCAAAATTGGGTTGAAATTCTAATGGACAAGCCTCCCCGTTGCTAAGTGAAGCATGTGGTTCAGCGATATTGTTGCTCCCTTCAAACGATGGTCGCAAAGTGGTAGAAGTCATCCCAAGCGGCTGGAATACTTGATTGTGAAGATATTCGTGAAGTGACTGCCCAGATATATGCTCGATTATGTGCGCAGCGATTGTGTATCCCCATGGACCCATCCGCCAGCTCTCACGGTGCGGAAGTGGGTGAGGAATGCGATCGATAGCTTTCAAGAACTCTTCGAGACATGGTTGTGTGCCGCCATTTCCACCGTCGGCTAGTAAAGTTACAATTTCTCCATCCAACCCGCAGCGATGAGCTAGAATATCAGCTATTGTGGCTGTGTGGGTCCAGTAGACACCAGTGTGATCAATCTCAGGTATTATTTCTCTCAAGAGCGTTGTCCACTGAAGCTTTCCATCGTTCACAAGTTTCCCAACACCAGCAGCTACCATTGACATGGTGATGTGCCCGATGCTGTATTGGGTGTTTACGTCTGGGTGTGCTGTTTTGGATTTGTTGCGGAAACCGAAGCTTTCGGTCCACAAAGTTTCTCCATGGTCAAGGACCCCAACAGAAACGCCTGGGACGCCTTCTATTTCGCAAATCTGCTCGATCGAGCTGCTCAGTTTCCGCAGTCGCCCAGTGGTCGATGGAGTTGCCCTAAATAGTGTTAGCGAGTGTATCATGCAGGGAGAGAAAGCTGAGAACCACAGTGGGAACTCAACAAACATGCAACACGTGCATTTTTGATATATCTTTGATGAGAGATCTTTCGGGAGTGTGAGAAGCCAAGTTTTAAGGAGTTCTAGGCAGCCTCTGATGTCATGCCATAACCCCGCGCTACAAAGTACATTGATTAGTTACGAGGCAATACTTTGCATCCCTATACTACATGTACTTAGTCTAAGTCATCTTAATTCTAATGAAAACTGAAACATACAACAGCAGTTTTTCGTATTCCTTTTTATACTTTTTTCCCTACGTAATGGAGAATTGAACTCTGATCGCCACATACTATGAATGCTATTACCTAGTTAACTAGTTGGACCCAAACGTACATGTATGATATGACCTAGATCTATTGGAAGGATACAAGTCATTGTAACCTACTACAATGATGTATCATCTGTCAATCCATACCCCTTATAGAATTTCTTCTTGATGAATTGCAAAACAGTCTCATCGCTCGTGTCGTTCGGATCCAAGGGATTCTTTGCATCCAAGTCTCCGTGCCAGAACGCCGGCACAGCATATCTCTCGCCACCGGTCTTGTTAATGACTCTATGCAGTGTACTCTTGTATTCCCCACCCGTCCATCTCTGGACCATGTCACCCAAATTAATGACAAATTTATCTTCCAGAGCAGGAAGCTCCACCCACTGCTGGGTGGCCTCGTGCCACACCTCAAGGCCATCTTGACCGGGGTCTTGGAGCAGGATAGTAAGGCCGCCATAATCCGTGTGTTGGCCAGAGCCAAACTTGCGTGTATCGGTCCATGTGTGTGCCGGGTAGCGAAGCAGCTTCAGAAACCTGCACTCCGTGTGAGACACAAACCATGTAGTGGGAACACAGGGATTGTCTTACATTGCAGCGTCCGTGGTAAAGTCCTTCAGAATCGACGGCGGGTGGCCCAGGCTGACAGCAAGAAGCTCCATCACTTTGAACCCGACCTTGCGTGCATGTTCATAGTATTCCATTACCGGCCGGCGGAAATCGTTCTCTGCAAGATCGGGCGGCCACACGTTGGGGCCTTTGCCAAAGTCCACCTGGTCGAGGGGAAGTTCCTTCCCCACAAAGAAGCCCTGTGCACCGTTAGCTGATTTTTCAAAAGAATCGAGCATCAATGAACCTGACCTCTTTAGCATCGCGCTCGAAGTCACCATGGTGTGGGTCGTTGGCTTGCTGCTCCCCTGGTCCCTCGTAGCCGCGTCGCCAGGAGTATTTGTAAAGAGAAATCCGCCTCTTCTTCTCCAACGGGAGGTCGAATAGTGCCTTGCAGGCTGCGAACATTCGCCGCTGGCTCTCTACCGGCACACCATGGCCTTCAACTTGAAAGAATCCATGTTCCAGGCATGCTGTCCGCACTTGCTCAATGACCTTTGCTCGCTTTTCTTCCGAGTAGGCATCGAAGTAGTCCCGCAGATCGATTGTGGGGATATACCTATCCTCGTTCTTGACGACGGCCGCATCGACAGACATGACGGCTTATGTGAGGTGCTAAGAATGTGTTTCTGGGTAGATAAGATTCGACTTTAGCCTGGGTTATCGTTCGTTCTCCGTTATTAGCCTGTTAAAATATACAGCTGTGATTTTTACTTGGACCTAGTATAGAGATATATATTTCCGTTGTGAATATTGTATGATCCGCATCTAGACTCAGAAAGCCGCGAGTAAGCACAAAATAAAAAAAAAAACCTTCGCTCATTCTGTCTGCCTCGAAGACCAGAGCCAAGCCGATGCTTCTCGGTTGGTGGAAGTTTGGTGTCGGCTGTTTCAAGAAAGGGCTCCGAGGCAACCGAATTTGGCTGCACCGAGGGGCAGTGAATTCGGTCACTTTTTTTCATCCCTGTCAATCGCAGGTGGGCTTCGAATTGACCAAATATAGGAACAGGATTTGTCGACCGAGCAATTCGGTGGTTATATTGCGCCGATTATCCCGTCTTCATGAAGCTACCCGGTGATCCTCGATACATGATCGGAACGGGGTCCGTATCCTCCTGACGGTAGTATAGTTCTACATCGCAAGGGCTGGAATATCTGGTGTGGCGATCTATGAGTTATGATACGTAGTCACCAAAACAAATGGATAACTAGGAGCATAATTTTTTGTCACGAGTTTATTCCTCTGACTCAAATTAGACCTCATGATGGATTTATTGACATGGTATACTCTATCAACCAGCCAAGTGGCCGAGCAGTAACTCGACCATCGCATCTTCCTTGGTCTAGTGGTGATGATTTCCGCTTGTCATTAATACCGATAAGCGCGGGAGACCGGGGTTCGATTCCCCGAGGGAGAGATTTCTTTTTGGTTTTTTTGTTGGGGTCTCGTATAGGCGGAGCTAGCCGTCGATCAAATATTAAGCATGTATATGCTAGTAGCTCTAGTGGATTTACGGTCAGACCCTTTTGTGCGTAATTCCATAACCGAGTCCGCTGCCTGGAGGTTGGGGACATTCAGGCAGATAATGCCCTACAAGCTCCGCCCAATGCCTATACAGCAACAGCAACAAGAACATGGTCTACGGCATAGGTGTCGCTTGAAAACAATCAATTGTCTTACGTCGAGTGTACCACAACAAACTCTGCCAGGTAAATTGGACCTTGGACGGGAAATTAACATTTCCAAAGCTCAAACAACCACGTATAATGTATGATGATGACAAGAACGTCGGGAAATAAAAACTTATACCGGGTACACTAGCTTCTGCCCAGACATGGCTTGAGTACGAATCATATCCACGCCCTCCTTTACACCATCCCAGCCCCCGGTCATAACCTTGATTGGGTGTGTATCAAATTTACCCTGGTCCAGCAACGCCTGCACACTCACCGTAAACTCCACCGCAAATTTATGATCATCTGGTCGTGCATCCCGAGAGTACTCTCCATCGATATCCACCTTGCGTCCGAACACGGTCAATGCCAGAAGCCACGACGGCTCAATGGTAAGGGGTCTCGTCTCTGTGATAGCGCTGCGAAACGGCTCGAGAGTAACGTAGCGACCACCAGCACGGCCCATGGCATTATAGCAGAGCTGCGTCGTGTCAGCCATGGCCACGCAGTCCAACGTATACGCCAGCGTCCCTCCAGTGTACCGGCGGATCTCAGCCGCGCATTCAGGGTCACTATAGTCAAAGGCGTGCTCGGCACCGAAGCGGCGGACTAGATCCATGTTTGCCTTGGAGCACGTAGCGATAGGACGAAGACCGGCACTGAGATAGAAGACAACGGTCCCCAGTTAGCATATGCAGCGGGGGAATCAATACAGAGTGAGAGAGTTATACGCACAGCTTTAGTAGCTGGATAGCACGTGTGCCTGTAGCGGTACTGCCACCGGCAACCAAGACGAAGCGCTCGTCTTCGGCGATCTCCATGTCATTGGGGCCACTGAGCGACCCTGGCACCTTCAACTCGTGGAAAAGGCCCAGCCCGGCAGTGAAAAGGCCCAGACCAATAGAGGCAGCATCGTTGAACGACATTTCGTCCGGTATCCGAAGAATCAAGTCCGCGGGAGCCGCCACGTATTCAGCGAAGGCACCCACGTCCGGTTCAACGGAGTTCATGCCGTGAACCCAGCCCGCAACGCGATCCCCGATATGCAAATGTGCGGGCGTGTTCGGTCCCATTGCAACGATGGTTCCTGCGAAGTCATAGCCGTGGACTGCTCCTGGCACGGGGCTGTAGTCGAGCATTTTTGCATCGACTGGGTTGATAGCCACGGCGGCAGTCTTCACGATGGCCACCATAGGCCCTGGAGAGGGCACCGTCGCATCATGTTGAATGCGTAGCTTGCCAGCTGCCTCGGCCACGATGGTCGTTTGCTGACGAGGCAAAATGGGAGTCACTGAGGGCATTTTTGGATGTTGAGACGAGTCTTCAGGGAAATTCTGAAATGGGCTTGGACGACGGTCTCGTATAATTTGGTTGTTTGGAGACTCTCATTTTTTCTAACCAGGTTAGCTTCTTACTTACATACAGGCTGGTGAGATTGTGCTGGTGTAGCACACGGTGATGGTAACATGCTCTCAATTCGAGATGACTATCACTTTGCACGGGGAGATAATCGGTCGACCCTCTCTGTGTTCAAAAGTGACCGAATCGGTAGACCTTCTCGCCCGATGTGTGACACGCAGTCAGTTGCCGATTATCCGTGGGCTATCTTTTTCGTATCAAATTGTGTGGATCGGTGGCGTCCAAACATATCTTGTGGACGGCTCTAACACCGAGGCCGAGTAGCCTGCATGATGAAGAGACCGAGAGAGCGGGAGATCCTAGACAATCACGGCAGTTCTCCTTTGTACATATGATTTATTTATTTATTTTTCTAGACTGGTTAGTAATCTCTACTCCTTGCAACGCTGTTCGTTCTCGGAATTAACGGCACGCGAAGAGCCCAAACTCCGAAGTACCCTGCACGAAGCAATGGCGGATCCCTGAAGCTTATGCCGTTTATCCTTTAATCGTTCTTCACGAAGTAGACAAAGCTTGGTCGACATCGCACTCCCCCGATGAAGTGTATGTCGCTTTTTCTCTCTGGTTCTCATTTCGTCTCCCCTTGCTGGATCAACTATTAATAGTGCATTATATATATTACACGGGCGTCATTACAACTGAGGTTTTAGTTTTCGAACTTTGACGACTGCTATGGCCTCCGGCACTGAGGAAGATACATTGAATAGGGAGGAGAATGGCTCTGACTCGGATCATCTTTCAAAGGAACCGATCGCGGTGCCTGCACTGGACTGGGATGGGCCCACCGATCCAGTGAGAAACTCCCAACACCAACGTGATTGAAAAATCCTGCTCACCTTGCTTGAAGAACAACCCGCGCAACTTCTCTACGCCCAAGAAAGTGTTCATCACTGCCTGCTTGGCCTCGCTAGTATGCATCGCTACCTTCGGCTCGTCCGTGATGAGTCCTGCTAGTGGCCAGCTCATCCACGAGTTTGGTATATCCAAAGAGGTATCGGTTCTAGCAACGGCTCTGTACGTTCTAGGGTTTGCATTTGGGCCCTTAATATTTGGCCCAGCTTCGGAGGTTCTGGGCCGAAAATATCCACTAAGCGTCGGCGTCTTCCTGTTCGGTATTTTCAGTATCCCAATCGCCGTTGCTAAGAATGTCGCCACCATATTCGTCTGTCGCTTCCTCTGCGGGACCTTCGCGGCTGCCCCGCTGGCTATTGTTTGTCTCCAAATTCCTCCACTTGCCGTCCACCCCTGCGAGATATACTGACCCGAAAACCATAGGCTGGGGGCGGTCTCGCCGATCTCTGGGAACCCCTCTCGCGGGGTATTGCCGTGGCTGGCTTTGCTAGTGCTACATTTCTGGGACCCGTGCTAGGTCCTATTGGTAAGTAAACTGGCGAGGCCTTGGTTAAATGACTCAGTACTGACACTGATCCAGTGGGCGGCTTCGTCACCAAGTCACATTTGGGATGGCGGTGGACGCAGTGGCTTTGTGTCATTTTCTCTCTCGTCTTTCTTGCCATTTACTTCGTCTGCTGTCCTGAAACGTACAGCCCTGTCGTCCTCGCTCGATTGGCAAAGAAGAGAGGATATGTGCCCCCGGGGGGCAAGGTCGACTTCAAGCAGCTCGCCAGAGTCTATATGCTAAGGCCATTCATCATGCTCGTACAGGAGCCTATCTTAGCTCTGTTAACGCTGTACATGGGATTCATTTACGGTTTCTTGTATCTCTGCTTCGAGGCATTCCCCATCGCCTTTGAGGAACATCGTGGCTGGGATATCGGTACCGGGTCTCTCCCCTTTCTCTCCATCACGGTTGGTGTGCTCATTGGCGTTGTCATCATTATCGTCCATACTATGACCCGTATGCGGAGAAAGTTAGAGACAGTGGGAGATGCACCAGAAGAGCGTCTTGTGCCCATGATGATTGGCAGTATTTTGATGCCTGCAGGCATATTTTGGTTTGCCTGTGAGTTATTCATCCCTGTGGAATAGGCGAGAAACGTAATCGACTGACATTTCTGGTAGGGACTTCTAATACCTCCATACCCTGGGCTCCACAGGTGGTATCTGGGGTATTTATCGGTTGTGGGATTCTCTTGATTTTCTTACAGGTGGGAAAATGCACTCTTTGCACTCAATTATAAATAAGAGGATATGTTGATTAATGACTAAATAGGGCATGAACTATATCATCGACGTCTACAAGGTAATGGCCAACTCGGCAATTTCGATCAACGCCATGTTCCGGGGTCTCCTAGGTGCCGGTTTCCCTTTATTTGCCTCATATATGGTATGGTAACACCCTGACATGAAGTATTCAAGATATCCGCCTAATTCTCTCTTAGTTTGATAACCTTGGTGTACCATGGGCTATGTCTTTGCTGGGATTTCTGTGTGTCGCTCTAGTTCCTGTCCCATTTTTATTCTTCATTTATGGAGAGAGAATTCGGAAGTGGAGCAAGTTTACAGCTCATTAGATAGAGCATTAATCCAATGATCAAAAGTTTATACGGGCTGAATCTGCTATCTTTCCACGACCCCTTTATCCGATAATTTGAGTTGCTCTTGTTGCGTAATTGGATCGCTTGAAACTTGGCATAGAGACAAACGTACTAAATCCACTATTCGGTGGATACTAAGCATACGTAGGCCTAGTCTAATGAGACATTCAAGGTAATAGCCTAGACCAGTAGATCCCAAAAGGCTGAGTGGGGACTTGGATAGGGGTTTCAACTCCTAGTACCACCCACTGGTTAACAATGTAAGTAGAATCCATGGATCTACAAAGATAGATGGGAAGAGTACAACTGAGCCCTAGTTGATTCCCAGGTATTTATATCCACGTTATTTGCATTCCTGGCTTTGGCTATATACTTCGGCCACATCAGCCACGAATCCGACCCTCCGCCACGTGGTACGTATTATGTACAAAGTCCTCGGATCGCTCTGCTCTCATGCTCTTTAGTACCTAATCTATTTGCCGAAAACGGCCCAGTCACCCTGTCCCCAAGTGGTCTTCAGAGTCCAGTGCTTAATCTTCCACAATCCGTCCCCAGTATCCTTGACAAGCTCGACCGCATACAGTCCACCAGCAAGCAGGAAGTCAGAGCCGGGCTTCATGCCCTCTCCACCGCGGTAGTGTTGAGAAAGAGCAGAGCATGACACCTGAGCCTTGGATTCTTCTGTGATGTTGATACGCATGTTGGAGAGGAAGTGGTTGGTGTCCATTTTGGCGATGTTGGCGTAGCATCCGCTGTAGATGGCATCGTAGCCTTCCAAGACAGTGCCATTGAGGATCAAGACGGCGTCCTCAGTCAAGGCAGATTTGAAGAGAGCATCGTCGGCTGTGTCAAAGGCGATGACGCCGCGGTAGAGGGCATCAGCGATGGCATCGCGGTCGCTGAGGGCAGGTGTGAGGGAAGCTGGAAGTGCTGGTGCGGCCATGATGGGTATTTTGAATATCAAATTATGCAGTGGTGTACGGTTGAAAAGATTGTTGGCTTGACGTTAGGATGTACGGTTGTAAAATTCTAAAATGAGCAGGATTTAGAGTACTTATGCCAAGCTGGAAGGCACTTGAGGCATGCTATCAAATTGGGACCGGCTACAGTAACTTTCGGTATCTTCCAAAGGCTATCTCCGACGGATGGGGTTAACGGAGTTAGGGGAGACATCGGCGTAAACGGGGCCCGAGATAGCAAAGGATCATTGATTGGCTACGGGGAACCGCGGGATTTTCCAAGGTTAGCGGGTCGGCCCACAAAACGTCCTCGGGAGGGACCCGCTACCCCTCAGGCAAAGCTTAGCAATGCTTGGGATCAGCCTTGGAAAGGTTGAAACTTACCGAACACCATCCCTAGTTAGAACGTAGATAGCGGTCGAATAAGGAAAACCTTCCGAGCATGTCCTATTTGGGACTATTACTGCCTGTGAATCGTTTCACGGTACAAGTGCTCCAATCAGTGACATCATCCCTCACCATCTCCTGCAGTGATCGACGTGAAAAATCTCTCATAGATCCTTGATGTGTAGAAGTTGACAATCTTGGTTTATATGTAATTCTAGAACTTAAATGTCAGACAAGGGAGAGTACGGTAGATCCTTTTTAACTTTTTTCTTCGGTCCAAATCCTCTGAAACAATGAAAGTTTTGATTATTTTTGCCCACCCGGAACCACAATCTCTCAATGGCACACTTCATCAGATTGCCATAGAAGAGCTGGAAGGACAAGGCCATCATGTCCAGGTCTCCGATCTATATAAGATGAAGTGGAAGTCAGAAGTGGATCGTGAAGACTTTCCAAATTTTCCGAAGGACCAACGGCTGGACCTGTGGTAAGTCATCGGAATTATAAGCAGTGCGTTGTTGGTGGGGGTCGTTGGGGGCGGAAAGGTGTTCTGAGTACATTGGGGCCAGAAATAATCTCGCCTTATTTGGTAGTTGCGGCTAAGCTAACTGCAGTGAGATTTGGCAGGGCCGCATCCGCTGAAGCATATGCGGAGAATTCTTTAACTCAAGATGTGCTTGACGAGCAAGCCAAGCTGCGATGGGCCGACTTCGTGATTTTCCACTTCCCCCTCTGGTGGTTCACTATGCCAGCAATTCTGAAGGGATGGGTGGACAGGGTCTACACCTATGGCTTTGGTCACGGCATTGGAGATCATTCCGACAAACGCTGGGGAGACCGATACGGAGAAGGTACTTTGGCAGGGAAACGAGCCATGCTGATCGTAACTCTTGGCGGCTGGAAGGAACACTACTCGGCCCGCGGCATTAGTGGCCCAATTGAAGACGTTTTATTCCCGATTAACCACGGTATTCTGTTTTACCCCGGCTTCGACGTTCTACCACCATTTGTTGCCTTCCGAGTTCACAAAACTAGTTTTGATGAACTGGCCAGTGAACTCCGAAAAAGAATGCGTGAAATTGAGTTTACGAAACCTATTCCCTATCGCAACCAAAATGGTGGCGAGTACACTATCCCAACCTTGACTCTGCACGAGAGTCACGGTGGAAACCTCGCATCTGGTTTCGAACTTCATACACGCACGAAAGTGGAGACATCCGATGTGAAATAAAACATAAATGGGTAAGTGGAATTTACCAGGGACGTCGCAGCCAAGGGAGGGAGGTGTTGGGGGGGGGAGGCAATGGAAATACCCGGCCGCCCGGGGATTATGTGGATGTTTTGGGTCCATGGGTAGCTATCTAGGAAAGTCTTTGTTCTAGACAACATAGGTGGATGTAACATCTGTGGACCAAGTCCACTAATGTTCAAGTACCGCTAGCCTAACTTGGGCAGTGGGTCCACAATTGTTTTCTCGTTTATGCAAAATACTTGGTTGGTTCATAATCTCTCTTTATGTAACTGGAATCCTGCTTGTTGATCCCGATGGGTCAGACATAAAAATAGTATTACAGTTTGAATAATTTTCAGCTTCCCTTGAGGGTGAATACTCTGCGAATTATTAGTGTGTAAATCTTTTGTACACCAGAATCACATTACATAGGATTCGTGCGACGATAAGACCTGACCTAGGACCTTTCGAGGTCGGGAGTGACCCGACGATATTTGTAAGCGGAGGGTGTCTCAACCTTGGGAGCTCTTCAGTAAGAAATAGAGGAGAGTCTTGCCAATTTTGCCCCACCGATAACCCCAACCTAACTAGGGAAATGGGGTGAACACATTGGGGTCATTGGTTGCTGCCCTGGGGGACCCCGGCTCCTGACCTTTGAAGGATTCTAACCCTCGCACTTAATGTCCCAATTACGGTCTGCAGAGCTTGTCACTAGGGGTCCGGATTCGTCATATCAGTGTTTGCCGTGAAATAACAAGTCAGACTGGTCGCTTACTCCGTAGATTACCATGTACATACGTACTGTTGAAGGATTTGAAAGCAGCAAGCTTATCACTGTGCATATGTCCGTATTATTCACGGTTCCCATTGGGCAGAGATTGCATATCGCTGCGCATCATACCTCGAAGCAAAATATCAGTATATGCACGTGGTGATTATGTCGCAACATTCAAGCCGTGTGAAGGGCTTTTGAGGCAATACGGCTTATTCGTATTACCTTCAGCGTCCTTATAGAGCATGGCTGCCACTAACCCCGGGATCTGACTGTTGAATCGACGCTTCCACTCTTTAGGCCTTGATCAAAACTGCAGGCATATTAAAGTTTGATTGGCATTGTCACCCGAACGCCAATCAACCTTTGAAGATGAATTTCTCCGGAAGATCCGAGCCTGGTAGGAAAGGCAACAGGGCCAGCAACAACAATACCAATTCGACAACCAACACAGCTACGGCCACCACCAATGACTCAAACCGACCTGCTTGCGATCGGTGCAAAGGGCAGAAATTGAGATGCATCTGGGAGCATGGCTCGGACACTTGCCGCAGGTGCACCCGTGCTCGGGCTATCTGCCAACAACCGCGACCACGTCCTTTTGGTAGACCTCGCAGCTCTACTAAAAGCAAAAACCCCACCGCTCCAAGTCAAGCACATACCAAAGTATGGGTACCTAGCGCTAGCAATGATGGTACTACTCAGCCTCAGGAGAATGATGCTGAAATGCCTATGGCGATGTCTGGCGATCAGGATCCCATGTCCTTTCTTTCCCCTACTGCCGTTGACCTGCCTCGGTATCTGGGGTTGGCTTCATTCCCCATGGACCCCAGCCTGCAGATAGCCATCTCCCCGCCACATGGCGTGCACGGTAATTCTTTCAATTGGTATATTTCAAAATCCCCTTTTCGCCATGTCCTTCACAATGAGTATACTAAGTTCGTCTTATTTCTAGGGAGACAAGTCTGATTGGGAACTTTTCTGATGCACAACTCAAGAACCCTGCCACATTTTATCAGCCCCAAGGTGTCATAAGTGCGGCCAATGCGGCCACACCCGCGCCTGTGCCTGAATCTGCGTCTGCGTCTGTATCTGCATCTGCATCTGCAGATGGCGCCTCTTTATTTGAGTTCGACCCAGATGATTTCTCAGGAGATCCAAACTACAACCACTGCAATTGGCTGAAGCAGCTTGGCGATCTCAATGTTGCCATATACCAACATCCCTTACACCCTAAGCCCGTTAGCGGGAATACGCCTGGAGTTTCCGCTGCTTTCTCCGCCCAACTAGTCAGGTTGTCTAGCCTTCAGATCGGCCGGCTTCTACATATGACATCCCAGCTCAGAAGACTGACCAAAGAAATCGATTCGGCAGACCATGTACAACCCAATTATGATGGGTCAGCTGAGCCTGATTCCCTTGGTGGAATCAACCTAGCCAAGCATGATCGGTCGACTCTGTTCGTGGTCTTAGGTTGTTACGTGAGACTAGAACAAACTTTTACTCAAGCGTTAGCTACGGTAGTTGAAATCAGGAGATGTGGGCCTTTGTCAGATGACACCTATCAGCTTATGCCGAGGCTCACTCTAGACGGTTGTTCTTTGGAATTTTGTCAAACGATGCAGATTGACTTTGTGATCTATATATGTGAGAAGACTTTAGTTCAGATTAGGCAGAGCATTACTTCACTTCATGCCGATATGTAAGTAATAGAATTTGGATATATCGAGGTTGATAGAATGGCAATTTTACTGGTCTCTGCTACCCAAAGGACGCATACCGGGGTAAGACTTGGATAGAATAGACAAGGGCAGACTCATTCAATCAAAGGTTATACATAGAGCAGTTTCTTGCACAAAGTATTCTTTTATTACTGTCTTCGTATACACCGAAAAATACGCCTAAAAATGGTATGTAAAAAAAGCACGACAACGCCGCATAAGCGGCCGACTATTCTTGTGATAATCGAATTCGAAGTCTTGCAACACTATTTCACATTCTGACTATAAATTCATCAACATGAGCTTTAAATCTATAACTTGTATATTAATGATTGTTAACATAGTTGGAATTGAAATAATTGTGTAAATCTTAGATCAAATCGTGGGTGGGAAAGCCACACTGGTACTTGACGCGTACTTAAGACCATTCAATTTCGTAGTATGGCTCATAGCTATTCACAATATCGAAATGGTCATAAAGTTACCAGCATTTTTAATCTCATCTGACGACATTCTTCAGTTTCACAGCAAGCTCAGGCTTCACCCAAAGCCTCATCACTTTGCATCGACTCAACCAGTCTTGACTTTTCTCCTCGAGCTCAAGATCAAAAGACCAGACCATTTTGGCCAGGATGATCCGCAATTCTGCATGTGCCAGGTTCCTCCCTAGGCAACCGCGCGGGCCATAGCTAAAGGGCTGGGCGGCACTTCTCTTATCGTCAGCGTACTCTTTTTCGCCTAGCCTATATCGAAGCACCTCGTAAGCATTTGGCGACAAATAATATTATACTGGGAACATACCATCTTTCAGGTACAAAGGCGTCGGGGTCCTTAAAATTCCTGCTCGAATGATACGCCGCATACTGGCTCACGGATACTATACAACCCTCGGGTAAGAAGTGACCAGAAACAAACTCGCCACCGCGATTTACCACCCTTCCAAAACCAACAGGAGCTGGCGGAAAGTATCTGAGTGCTTCCAACAACACCGCATGTAGATATGTCAGTGTGTTGAGAGCAGGCAGTTGAATTTCTTCATACGACGCGAATTTCCCACGAACTTCTTGTTTTAGTTTCTCCATGACTGTGGGATTCTTGAGCAAAAGGAAGGTAACAGCACTGAGTAGCGTTGCAGTAGTCTCAGAACCAGCGTTGAGGAGTAGGAACGCATTGGAATTGATCTCTTCGTCTGTTAGTTTCGATCCTTTGTTTCCGTTATTGGCCAGAATCAATGTCATAAAGTCAGGCCGGGTTGTGTCTCTGTCTCTTCGCTTCTGAACTTGAGCAGAAACCCAAGACTATAGAAGTCAGTGGTGCTCATGGCACAGGGGTGATGAGGAGATGACAACTTACTAAATGGTCCTTTCGCTTCTGAACTTGTCTCTGGTCAAGGAAAAGATTGCCAAAGTACTTCAGCCATGGAAAATGAGCAAGAACATATAGGATCCTGAGCGACTTGAAGGACTCCAGCAGAACGGCCACATATTTGTGAGTGGATAAATCCTGTAAGCACCCAAATGGCTCACCTGGAAGTATTAGAATTAGCTCGGATGATCAAACGATTAGTTTTGGAGACAAATCAGCGCACCAAACATCAAATCAGCAATGATATCGAACGTCGTCCTAGGCCATGTTAGATTGCAGTTTTTGTATTTTGGCACAGGTAGGTTGATTATACCAGTTATACCACGACACCATGTCGACTACACCTTCCCCTTCCTTTCCAGCCGTGGCTCCCTTCAGCCCATTTATGAGTTGGTCGACATAAGTCTGTACCAAAGGTTCTTGAGCGGCAACTGCCCTCTCGCTAAATGCATGAGAAAGTACTCGGCGGCCTACTCAGTCGATGAGTTAATCAGAAAGGCTGTATTAACTTGGAGCATGGATCATGGAATTACATACCTCTTGCGTGGTCTTCATCGTTCGCCTGCAGAAGAGACGGAGATCCATTACTCGGCTTGACATACCACACTGGGTCCTGGTGATAAGGTCAGCTAACGGAATCGTATAATATGTGAGCCGTGCGTATTTACCTTCTCCATATTGGGATGCCCCTTGAGCTTGCCGGTGCGGAATCCTGGTCTTGATAAGCAATAGCCAGCTGTTTCCTTCAATGCGCACGTACCGTAAATATCGGGAAATGCAGTCTCGCCACTGATAAAAGACACCTCGTTTGGCGAGATTCTCACCACATCGCCATACTTCTCGTGTAGTTTCACTGAATTTTCCACTGTCGTGCCGGCAAGCATGTGCCTTGCATATGGTATCATGGAGATACTGTTGATCCAAGGGCCTGGGATGTGGCGCAGCCCATCAAAGGAGGCATTATACACAGCTTTGCATCCGGAGTATGCAACGAACTGGAAATGGATGAGTTTGACATGCTAATACAACTTAGGCGAATAACCCTAGAACTTGAACACTCACCAACACAATTAGGCCTCCTGTGAGGGAGACCAGTTCTACCAGCTTCACTTTAAAATCTTCCATTGCCACGGAATGCATGGTCCAACTAAAAGAGGACTTTTATAGCAGAGATTCGAGTGCTAATATTATATCAAAGAAATGGATTAAGTTGATATTGCAAAATGTATTTCTACGATTGTAAGCAGATACACCAGCCTCTTGTTTTAAAATAGAGTAAATGTTGGATTTAACTCCGCTTACCCTCGTAAATGCAGTGCCTGATTATACTAGTGCAATACGCATCTATTTCTGCATTAATTCGGGTTGATGAGTAGGGAGCGCCTAGATCAATAGTTGTTGATTCTTCGGCGGCAAAGCGCCGAACCCACCGAACCAACACGCCAAGCATGTTCCAACCGAACCCTTCTTCCAATTCCATGCTCAACGTGTCTTTTCTCCCCACTCTGTTTGAAATATGCCAATGAAAATGAATAATCAGGTGCAGATAGCTCCGCTATGCTATGGAGGAAGCAATCTCGAATGAAACCTGCCGCAGTGGAGTTTTTGGAATTCGGTGATTTCTCTGGCTCCTGAGTGGCCAGGATACAGAGTCCGTCCTAGACACGATCTACACATGCACAAGATCTGCATCAGCAAACCCTGCAGCTTTATCGGAAATCACCATGACCGGTGTGACCGAAAGTCCTCCGGACGGATAAGCCCCCTGCCCCACGCACGTCTCCAGCCGTAAGCGTGGTGTGGTATTTTGCTAAAATTGTGTATGAATATACCAAAAGGGTGATTATTCAACATGGCTTGGCAGTGCTCCCCACTTACGGAAAGTCCCAAAGATCGACTCTAGATTCGCGGTTCTTGGAATCTTCGAGCCAGGTCGCCCAGAAAAGAGCCCGAATACGTTTAGCGATGCCGCAATTGCTAATATCTCGCCTGGTGAACCCGATTCGGTACATTCTATGCTACACTTGTAGTTTTAGCAGGCGATAGCTAGAGAGAAGAATAGATACGGAAATGCCGGGGTTTTCTTTATCAACCAACGGATGATACTTGACCTGGACTTTGTCTCAAAACATTGGCAAGACTCTTCCGGTAGACACCTTTCTCATCGTGCTCCCAGATTATTGTATCATTTTCAAGTCATCGCCATCTTTCAAAGCATTCCCAAAGCAGTAGTGCTATAACATCCGACATGGTTCTACCCCAGCCTGAGCCCATTGCCATTGTAGGTAGCGGCTGTCGGTTTCCAGGTAGCTCAAGTTCCCCTTCATCGTTATGGAACCTCTTGGAGAAGCCGAGGGATGTGTCTAAAGAGCCTTCTAATGAGAGGTTCGAGTTACGGGGCTATTACCACCCCAATGGAGCTCACCATGGAACGATGAATGTGCAGCGCGCATACATGCTCGATGAGGATGTTAGCACATTTGACGCCACATTTTTTAATATCAGCCCTAATGAGGCTGAATCCATCGGTAAGATATTTTTCACATGGATACGGTTCATCACGATACCTTCCCGGTTCTGAAATGCCTCTGTTTAAAGCTCGACAAGAGTTTGCTGATCTCTAATGGCGAGCAGATCCCCAACAGCGGTTGCTGATGGAAGTGGTATACGAGGCTTTGGAAGCCGGTGGCCATCGTCTCGACAGGCTCCGTGGATCAGACACTGCCGTCTATGTTGGTACCATGTCTGTCGACTATAACGACATCATGTTGCGGGATATCAACAGCATACCCACATACTTCTCTACTGGCACTTCCCGGGCTATCCTTGCGAACCGCGTTTCTTACTTCTTCGACTGGCACGGTCCGTCAATGAGTATTGATACCGCATGCTCCTCGAGTATGGTTGCGCTGCATCAGAGTGTACAGGCACTGCGGTCAGGGGAGTCTCGGGTAGCAATTGCCGGTGGTACCGAATTACTGTTAGGACCAGGTTAGTCTCCCCACGCAAGTACACTGCAGTGGATCAAGGAAAGCAAACATGATGCCAGTATTGACGACCCTATGCAGAGCAATTTGTGGGTGAGAGCAAAATGAATTTACTGTCACCAACTGGGCAGTCGCGCATGTGGGATGCCAGTGCGAACGGATACGCCAGGGGTGATGGTATCGCAGCGATTGTGCTCAAGAAACTCAGCGATGCCATTGCTGATGGAGACCACATTGAATGCCTCATTCGCCAGACAGGGATTAATCAGGATGGCAAATCCACTGGTCTGACAGTTCCAAGCTCAGAGGCTCAGGCAGACCTCATCAGATCGACGTATACCAAGGGCGGGCTGGATATTGATAATCCGCGAGATTGGCCGCAGTTCTTCGAGGCTCACGGCACGGGTACCAAAGCTGGTGACCCCCGCGAGGCTTCTGCAATCAGCCAATGTTTTGGAAGCCAGCCAATCCACGGAAACCCCCTATATGTTGGATCCATCAAGACTATCATCGGGCATACAGAAGGTACAGCAGGATTGGCTGGTGTTATCAAGGCTTCTTTAGCCATACAGCACGGTATAATCCCCCCTAACATGCTCCTCCATCAGCTAAACGACGAGGTTGCGCAATATTGTGACAATCTCCGCGTCCCCAATTCTCCAACAGCATGGCCTGAGTTGCCAGATGGTGTGCCTCGAAGAGCGAGCGTGAACAGTTTTGGTATGTTCTCTCGGATTTAACTGCCTGCGGAAGACTCCTAATCTGACCCATATAACTTGTTTAAACAGGCTTTGGCGGCACCAATGGACACGCCATTTTGGAGGAATACCAGCCGCCCACAGAGACAAGGAATACCGCGATCGCAGGAAGTGATGAAAAAAGCGCGTCTGTGTTCAGGATCTTCCCGTTTTCCGCAGCCTCCGAAGAGTCCCTAACTGCGAATCTCCGCGCTTATGCTACCTCTCTGAAGACTCAGACCACTGTCGATCTGGCTGACCTAGCCTGGACGCTCCAGTCGCGCAGGTCGGCTCTGCCCTTCAAAACATCCCTGACTGCGGAGAGTATAGAAAGTCTGGTCTCCAAGATTGATAGCACAGTTGAAAAAGCTAAGGCAAACACTGGATCAAATGTTGGTACGCGATCAGCTCCCACCAAGCCCAAAGTATTGGGTGTCTTCACTGGACAGGGAGCACAGTGGGCGACAATGGCTGCTGGTCTGATCCGAACCTCAGAGACTGTGCGACGGAAGATCGAGCAGCTTGATAACTCTCTCGCAACGCTGCCTGAAGCCGACCGCCCGACGTGGCGAATCGCGGACCAGCTTTGCGCAGGCGCCGAAGCTTCCCGACTCAATGAAGCTGCCCTCTCACAACCCCTTTGCACAGCCATCCAAGTGGTATTGATTGATCTACTACGAAGCTCTGGAATCACCTTCGAGGCTGTCGTAGGCCATTCATCGGGTGAGATTGCAGCCGCGTACGCTGCCGACTTTATCTCTGCCCACGACGCTATACGCATTGCCTACTACAGAGGCGTATATGCTAAACACGCCCGTGGTCCCAAGGGCCAGAAGGGTGCCATGATGGCAGTTGGAACAACTTGGGAGGATGCAGAAGAGCTCCTCAATTTACCGGCGTTCAGGGGGCGCGTCAAGATTGCTGCTCAGAACTCAGCCGCTAGTCTAACGCTCTCCGGCGATATTGAGGCTCTCTCACACGCCAAGAGAGTCTTCGACGAGGAAAAGAAATTCACGAGGCTCTTGGTTGTTGATACTGCGTACCACTCCCATCACATGCTGCTGTGCAGTGAGCGCTACATCCAGTCTCTCCGGACCTGTGGTGTCCAGATCAACTACAACCGCAACTCGTCTTGCACTTGGTACTCCAGCGTTAAGCATGGCGAGCCAATGCGGCCTGAAGCTTCGCTTGGTGATCTCTACTGGAATGACAACATGGTGAATACGGTTCTTTTCGCTGATGCTGTCAAAGGCGCAGCCAAGGGAAGTCAGCTGAACCTCGCAATCGAAGTTGGGCCCCATCCAGCACTCAAAGGCCCTGCCCTACAAACCCTCTCCGACTTCGAGATGTCCCTTCCTTACACCGGTGTTTTGAAGCGGAAGGGCAATGATTTGGAGGCGTTCTCGGATGCCCTAGGCTTTGTGTGGACTCATTGTGGACCCGGTGGGGTTGACTTCCAGTTCTTCGAGGAACTGATATCTCCGGCTTATAAGACTCCCTCACTGGCCATTGGTCTCCCAGCCTATCAATGGGACCATAAGAGAGTTTATTGGTACCAGTCACGCTTGGCAAAGAAGACGCAAACTAGGGGAGAGGCTTTCCACGAGCTGCTTGGCGTTCCGTCCCCGAATAATACGGATCGTGACCTTCGATGGTCCAACTTCCTCAAGGCCAATGAGATCCCATGGCTAAATGGCCATCAGTTGCAGGGTCAGACCGTCTTCCCAGCTGCAGGGTATGTGGCAATGGCATTGGAAGCGGGCCTCAAGCTCGCGCAAGGCAGGAGTGTCAAAGTACTCCAAATCGACGACCTAACTATCGACAAGGCTGTAACCTTCGATGATGGAGCAAATTTTGCAGTGGAGACACTTGTCGCCCTTACTGGCGTTACCCAAGGCCAATCTCTCACGAAGAAACAAACAGCCGACTTTGCTGTTTACTCGTGTGCGAACACAGGGTCGTCAACCGAGTTGAGCGTGGTATCGAGAGGAAAGGTCACGATAATTTATGGAACCCCATCGTTTTCTACGCTTCATTCCTCACCACACAATCAACAAAACATGGTTGATATTGAAGCTGAGCAGTTCTATTCCTCGCTTCACGAACTCGGCTACGGCTACAATGGCCCATTCAAAACTTTGTCCTCAACCAAGAGAACCCTCAATCAGGCTTCGGCCAAAGTGGAGACATACGGCTATGGTGAAGATGAGAACACTCTCATTGTTCACCCCACAATGCTGGATGTGGCATTCCAGGCATCCTTCCTTGCCCGAATGAGCCCAGGAGACGATCAACTGTGGTCACTGCATGTGCCCACTTCCATCAAGTCTATTCGCGTGAACCCAGAGCTCTGCGCCTCGCTACCTAGCTCATCAACGAGTCTGTCGCTTTCTGCGGTTCTTCACGAATCTGATTCACTCTCCATGCTAAGCAGCGTCGATGTCTTCACGGAAGACGGCCAAGAGACGATGATTCAGGTAGAGGGCTTGTCGATGAAGCCTTTCTCTCCTGCAACACCTGATGATGACCGCTCTATGTTTTCAACAACCGTGTATGGCCTTATGTCCCCTGACCTGGCTATGGCTGTGGGTAACGGCCGTACTCCCTCTGAAGGCCTCGCATCCTCTCAATGCAACGACGCTCTGGCTCATGTCGCACAACAGATTGTGCACCGGTACCCGCATGCAAAGATCCTTGAAATAGGTAAGGCTCACGTGTAAACACTATCATATTTATAGGAAAGTAACTAACAATTGCTAGGTGCAGGGGAGGGACATTCTACGAGGGCAGTTTTGGAATCGATTGGCAGCAAGCTATCGTCCTACACTTTCACCGATTCGTCGACGGAGGTAATCAAAAAGGCGGCGGAGTCTTTCAAAGAGTTCAAGGAGAAGCTTCTTCTCAAGACATTTGATCCTCTTGACAAAGCGTCCTCCCAGGGTCTCGACGAGCATTCTTATGATCTGGTCATTGCATCCAATGCCTTGACAAGCAACTCGGTCTCACACACTGAGCTAGAAAACATTCGACTTCTCTTGAAGCCGGGAGGTTATTTCTTAGCTTCTGGGCTGTCTGGTGATGCCCCTACCAGGACTCTGGGAGGAGGGACTGTCGAGGGCAACGACACCCGCAAGCACGGTCCTGTGAATACTGCGCAGTGGCATGGAGCTCTTCGAAAGTCTGGATTCTCGGGTATTGATTCCATAACACCGCAAACCAACGGAATGACATCGCCATATTCTGCCATCGTGACCCAGGCCGTTGATAAACGAATCAATTTCTTACGGAAGCCGCTATCGATGCCCTCGTTTGTCCCATTGGATGAGCTCGTTATTCTTGGCAATCAATCACTGAAGGCAGCTCAGCTCACCGAAGAAATCTATGATCACCTTATTCAGTTCTGTGGCAAGATCACTGTACTAGATGGCCTTCCAACTGACGATGACGATATCTCCTCAATGGCCACGTTCATCAACATAGCCGATATTGGCGAGCCTATCTTCCGCGATATCTCCGCAGAGAAATTCGAAGGCCTGAAGTGTCTCTTCGAGCTTGCGAGTAACATTCTCTGGGTCACTGAAGGTGCTCGAGCAGATGAACCATACCATAATGCTAGCATTGGATTTGGTCGTTCAATCGCATACGAGATGCCACACCTGTCTCTACAGTTCCTTGATCTAAATGACACCGGGAGCACAGCCTCCCGAACTATCAGCGAAGCTGTTCTGAGGCTTGTTGCTCTCAGAGAATGGGAAGACACCGAACATAACTTCAAAGACAAGACACTCTGGTCAAGAGAGCCCGAGATATATGTGGAGAAAGAACGCCTAATGGTGCCGCGTCTACTTCAGGTGGATGATCAAAATGACAGGATCAACTCGTTGAGACGAGTAGTAACCAAAATGGTAGACCCAGGTAACTCCTCTGTTCTCATCTCCAAGGCTGTCGATGGACTCTTTGTGCTGCGAGAGGAGCCGATCCGTCAATCTGGTCAGAATTCTGTCCAGATTAAGCACTCTGTTTTATCTGCCATCAATGTCGCTCCTGAGGCTTTCTTGTTCCTCGGCGCTGGTCTCAGCCAAATCACTGGCGAGGTGGTAATCACGCTTTCAGACACGAACGCGTCTATTTCCACTCCATTGGCCCAGGTGTCCGCACAGTGGCATACAGGTGGACTTTCTACGCTGGTCTCCACTGTTGCTAAGCAACTCCTATCCCGGGCACTGCTTTCTATGGTGACTGCTCACAGTTATTTGCTCGTCCACGGGCTTGATGAGAACGAGTCATTTGCCTCCATATTGAAACAGCAAGCAACTGTTAGAGATATTGACGTTAAATTTAGTACAGCAAACCTTGCAGCAACGTCTGAATGGATTCAAGTAGCCCCTTGGACCTCAAGCCATGTTACCAGACAGTTACTTCCAGCTACCACCACGCATTTCCTTGACCTCTCCACTGATGATGAAAATCAGGATGCCGCTGTTATGATCCGAGAAGCTCTCCCCGTGACATGCAGGCATATCAGCGCGTCTGATTTATTCCATCCTGAATCTTTCATGCCAACAGGAAGTAGGGAAACCATCTTGCGAGTTTTACAAGATGCAGTCAGTGAGGCGAAGATGGCTGCATCGGGTGAGATCCCAAGGGCCAGTATCCGCCCTACCGAGTTGATTGATGCCTCTGTGCCCAAGTCTCCGGTCAGTATTGTTGACTGGACAGTGGATAGAGAGGTTCCTGTCCAGGTACAGCCTATAGATGCCACTAGGCTCTTCTCTCGGAATAAGACATACGTTTTGGTTGGTCTTTCGGGGCGGCTGGGTCAGTCGATCTCTCAGTGGATGTCCCGAAATGGAGCTGGCTGTATTTGCCTTACCAGTCGTACCCCCAAGACAGATCCGGAATGGCAGGCTGAAATGGAGAAGAAGGGCACCACTGTCAAGTTCATTTCCATGTAAGCTGACCGACCGATTTTAATGAATTTTGTGGCTAATTCAAGTTATCCAGGGATGTCACAAACAAGGATGATGTTGAAAGGGTTTTCACGGACCTCAGAGCCAACTCTCCACCAATTGCTGGCGTTGCAAGCGGTGCAGCCGTCTTCCATGATGCCACGTTCTCAGAAATGACGCACGAAATCTTGGAGAAGGTGATGAACCCGAAAGTCGTCGGAACTAAAAATCTTGACGAAGTGCTCGGTGATGCTAAACTAGACTTTTTCATCGTTTTCTCATCCCTTACATCAGTTGTTGGCAATAGTGGACAGTCCAATTATACGGCTGCAAATGCCTACATGACTGGCCTCGTGGGCCAGCGGCGTAAACGTGGTCTAGCAGCCACTTCTCTGGACATCGGCTCCATCGTTGGTATCGGATACCTAGAGCGTGCTAGTGATACTGCCAGAGAGCAATTAATTCGAAATGGATTCATGGCTGTCTCTGAAACGGATTTACATCAACTCCTTGCGGAGGCCATTCGAGCTGGCGCGACAAATTCAGGTGCAAGCCCGATAGTGACTACCGGTTGCCGGAATGTCCAAGAGGGCGAGGAGTTCCCTGTGCCGTGGATTGACGATCCCCGCATGCAGCACAAAGTCATCCTAGGAGAGCATTCTTCAAAGGCCGATGTTGCCGGCAAAAAGAGCACCCTTCCCGTTCGTGACCAGCTCGCTGTATCGAAAAGTACTGCAAACGCGCTTGAAATCTTGAAAGGTGAGACGCGAAATGGACATACCGTTTCCAACCACAACATTTACTAACAAATAATTATCAGAGTGCTTCGCAGCCAAATTGGCAATGATTTCGCGACTTGCCGATGGGCAGGTCGGTCACGACATACCCCTTGTGGAGCTTGGTATCGACTCATTAGTCGCTGTTGAGGTGCGCGGGTGGTTCTTAAAGGAGCTCAAGACAGACATTCCGGTACTGAAGGTTCTTGGAGGTGGCACTGTTGCAACCTTGTGTCAACAGGCCTTGGAAAAGCTACCGGAAGGCCTTCTCCCCAACATGGAAGCTGGAGGCCCATCTAAGACAGGATCATCTAAGCCCACAGCAAAGCCTTCAATTGCGAAACCCAGGTCTCCACCCCCACCGGCTGTCTCTGAGACGGGTTCACCGGGTAGATGGAGCGAAAACAACACGACTTCTCCGCAATCAGCATTGTCAAGTGATCAGTCGCCTTCCAGCACCCCAGCAACTGTCCTGTCCAATGTTCCCTCCAATGTTGACTTGACAACGGTTGCAAAATCAGAGAAGGCTTTAACTCCTTCCTCTGAATTTGTCAAGACTGAACTGGTATCTTTCCAGCAGTCACGATTCTGGTTCCTAGGGCTCTTGATGGACGACCAGGCGACATTTAACGTCACCTTTTACCTCCGCATCACTGGAAACTTGCGTACTGGAGATCTAGAGCGCGCCGTTCGCATAGTCACCAACAGGCACGAGTCGTTGCGCACATGCTTCGTGGCTCACGAGAAGGAGGCAGACTTAGCCTATCAAAAGGTTTTGCCCAACTCACTCGTCCGGCTGAAGAGGAAGAACATCAATAGGGTTGAGGATGTTGACATCGAATATGCTGCCATGAAGCAAGTTCCGTTCGATCTTGCCAGTGGCAACTTGTTCCGACTAGTTTTGCTCACTCTTTCCCCCTCAGAGCACTATCTTCTTTTCAACTATCACCACATCCTGATGGATGGGGTCAGCTTGCAGAACTTCCTTGCTGACCTTGAGAAGGCTTATCAGAGACAGCCCCTTGGTCCACCTCCCTGTCAGGTTCCCGAATTCTCACGTATTCAGCGAGCTGCGTTCGAGAGCGGCATTTTCAACGAAGACATTGCATACTGGAAGAATGAGTTCCCTAACGGACACCCCGTGCTACCGCTCTTGCCTATGTCGCACATGACCTCGCGCATGCCGCTTAATTCATTCAATGTCCATCAAGTCGAGTGCCGAGTGGATTCCGAGCTGATGGCTAAAGTTCGGGATGCAGCCAGGGCCAATGGCTGCACGACCTTCCACTTCTATCTTGCCACATTCAAGGCCATGCTATTCCGCTTCTCTGATGCTGGCGACTTAACAATCGGTATCGCTGACGCCAACAGAATCAATCCCGATGTTGAAGGCACCATTGGCCTCCTGTTGAACCTCCTCACGCTACGCTTCCAACGCAACTCCAGCCAGACATTTGCTCAGAGTGTTGGGGAGGCCCGTGGAAAGGCGCTGGAAGCCCTGAAACACTCCAATGTACCCTTCGATATTTTGCTCAAGGAATTGAACGTGCCTCGGTCCTCGGCATACAGTCCATTCTTCCAGGCGTTCTTTGATTATCGCCAAGGTCATCAAGAAAAGCTGTCTTTTGGCAGTACTGAGTTTGAGTTTTTGCAGGTTCATCCTGGACGCACCGCATACGACATGACTCTTGACGTAACAGATGGTGCAGATAGTGCGCGCATCCTGTTCCGTACTCAAGCCAGCCTTTACGACAAGACGGCCGCGCAGCTGCTGCTGAATACGTTTGTCCACCTCTTGGATACATTCGCGACAAATACCTCCTTGAAATTGGAAGATTTTGCGTTATTCAGCGACAAGGAGTTGAAACTCGCACTTAATGTGGGACATGGTAAGTAAATATGGTCAACGTCTCTTCCCAAATTTATACCTATTGACGAAATCAAGGTCCCAATTTCGAATCTTCCTGGCCTGGTGGTACAATTCCTCATCGGATTGATCAGATTGCCAAAGAGAATTATGATAAAGTTGCTTTGAAAGACGGCCACAGCACAATTCTCACATACGGTGCCATGATCGATCGCATCGAAGCCATTGCTGCAGCCTTACAACAGGTTGGTGTTGGCGAGAGCTCTCGGGTGCTCGTTTTTGAGGATGCGACCGTTGACTGGCCCTGTTCGATGCTCGCTATCATGCGTCTTGGAGCTGTGTATGTTCCATTGGATCTTCGGAACCCGCTGCCCCGCCTTGCAGATGTTGCAGGGAGCTGCAAGCCGGCTGCTATCCTTGTCGACTCCACAACTGTTGACAATATCGCACAAGTGAATGTCACATTGGCAGAAGTCGTGAATGTATCTGATGTTGGCGCGCAGTCGATCAAGGTACCTAATGTGTCTCGCAGCGATGCTGTTGCCGCACTGCTATACACGAGCGGGTCGACAGGCAAGCCCAAAGGTATTGTCGTGACGCACTCGGGTCTCCGCAATGAGATTGAGGGTTACACATGGAAGTGGGGTCTGAAAGCTGAACGGGTGCTCCAGCAAAGTGCTTTCACCTTCAACCACTCATCAGATCAGATCTACACGGGCCTAGTCAATGGAGGCTCTGTATACATCGTGCCTTGGGACAAGCGTGGGGACCCCATTGAGGTAACCAAGATCATCAAAGAGGAGAATATTACCTACACAAAGGCCACTCCTGCCGAATATTCACTCTGGCTCGATTACGGAAGCGACAATCTCAAGCAAGCCTCTACCTGGTGCTTCGCATTTGGAGGTGGCGAGTCTCTAACTGGAACACTTACGCGGAGCCTCGCAACCCTGCAGCTGCCCAATCTACGTTTCTTCAACTCTTACGGACCAACCGAGATCTCTATTTCGTCGACCAAGATGGAAGTCGCGTATCGCGAGCCTCCCCCGGATGGCCGTATTCCCTGTGGCTTCATGCTCCCCAACTACGCGGCGTATATTCTAGACGACCAGCGCAAACCGTTACCCGTCGGCATGCCGGGTGAATTGTATATCGGTGGCGCGGGTGTATCCCTAGGCTACCTAGACAACAAGGAGCTCACAGAACAACACTTCCTGCACAATCCATATGCTATACCAGAGTATGTTGCACAAGGTTGGACACGGATGTATCGCACAGGTGATATCGCACACCTTCAAGATGATGGGGCAATGGTGTTCCATAACCGTATTGCGGGTGACACGCAGGTGAAGATACGTGGTCTGCGAATCGAACTCGGTGACATTGAAAGCAATATCACCAAAGCAGCCGGTGGTGTCCTGAAGGAAGTCGCTGTTACATTACGCGATGGAGACCCGCCTATCCTAGTAGCACATGTTGTGTTTACTCCTCGCCATCATATTGTCGACACGGAAGCGTTCCTGGTTCAGCTTCTGAAGAACCTAGATGTGCCGCAGTATATGGTTCCCGTCATGGCGATCCCCTTGGACCGTATGCCGTTGAGCAATCACTCCAAGACGGACCGCAAGGCACTCAAGGAGCTCCCGTTGCCGCAGAGATCCAACAATGCTACTGATGGTAACACGGAGTCATTGACAGAGACTATGCTGGAGCTTCGACGCCTCTGGGTAGATGTGCTCAATACTGGGGAGCTAGGTCTTGACATTGGCCCTTCGACAAGCTTTTTCACGGTCGGTGGCAACTCTCTGCTCATTGTACGGCTCCAATCCCGCATTCGGCAGACATTCAATGTCACAGTGCGGCTCTTTGACCTCATTGATGCCAGTACTTTGAGTGACATGACGCAAAAGATTGAGGAGAGCTTGAGCGTTGACCTGATAGATTGGGATAAGGAGACGGCCTTGCTCAGCGACTTCACTGTGTTGGAGGCCACCAAACACCAACCCCTCAAGACATCTGACAAGGTAATCCTCATTACCGGCTCTGGGGGCTTCTTAGGCAAACACATTCTGGCCGAGCTTATTGCCCGACCGGATGTATCCAAGATTCACTGCATTGGTCTCCGCGACAAGCCAGGTAACACGCCACGCCGTCTAGCCTTGAACTCGACCAAGATCATCACCCATGGCGGCGATCTAACCGAGCCGTGGCTTGGTCTTGGCGAGGAGACATTTGCATCCCTTGCTCTGGAGGTGGATGCGATATTGCACATGGCTGCGACGCGATCCTTCTGGGACAATTACAGCCTCCTCCGTCCCATCAACGTGACGCCCACGAAACTCTTGGTCCAAATGGCCGCTGGGCGCCAGATACCAATACACTATGTCTCCAGTGCAGGCGTTGTCTCTGCGGAAGGCGTCGAAATCCCTGCAGGGTCAGCGGCGAAGTGTCCACCACGTGCCGATGGGTCTAATGGCTACGTTGCGTCGCGGTGGGCGTGCGAGCAGATCCTTGAGCATGCTGTCTCGGTTCTCAACGTGCCTGTCTCAATTCATCGTTTTGTTCCGGCCAGAGAGCCTGCCAATGAAACGGTTGTTGTAGACGCGCTGCAGCATTTTGTTGGCTTCGTTGATGAGCTGTCCATCATGCCCGAATTCAATGGTACTACAGGCCATTTCGAGATGACTCCCGTACATTCAGCTGCTAGTCAGCTTGCGGAAAATCTTGTGAAGACCCCGACGCAAGAATCGTCGCTGTTGGAATTTTTGCATCACGACTGCCCCATTCGCATTGACATTGCTGAAATGGTTGCCTTCTTGGAGGAGCAGAGAGGGGGCAAGGGTTTAGAGAGGATCCCGGGGCTCAAGTTCGTGGGAGACATGAAGCGAGCGGGATTGGCCTATTTTGTGACGTCGCAGACACTTCTCATGGGCGGAACAAATGGGACAAGTGTAGTGTTGGAGTCGAGGCGATAATCTTTGAGGATTATTTTACATGTCCATTTTAGTCCCTTTTACATAACCAGATATATTATAGAGACGTTTCAACCCGGACAAGTGAAAGCTGCCCACATGCATCCGTATATCCATAAATTATTTTTCAAAAGTACATGTACCTGAAAGATATACAAGTTGGACATTTCCTGGGCAGGCATCAACATTGCTGCCTAACCTCTCAGCACTAGTTAGTTAACTAGTTAGTTATAGGGTCCTGTGCTAAAGCCCTGACATATGTCATATGTACACGCATACTACGCAGGGGCATAACGTATTTCACCAGTGAGTGGGCCACCCATAACACCATAGTAAATGCTATATTTTATAACCTTTATATCTCAACAACCACGTTATAGTTTGATTTCATTATCATCCAATAGCTATTGATAAGAATTATAAGCACTATATATTAATATTAAAGAAAGTAGAAGGCTATATGATCATCATTTCGAAAATTACCGAAAATTACGTTTCTAAAAACTAGAAATATATATATCGCAATCACGACGTTATGAAGATTCTCCAAACTCCTTAGAGAGGCTAGGTATCACCTAAAAAGCATTAGGTTATAAGGAAAACCCCTTATAGCCCACCGTTGTTAAGATATAAGGTTGTAAAATGTGTCATTAACTATAGTGTTATGGGTGGCCCACTCACTGGTGAAATACGTTAGGGGCCAGGGTTACTTTCGGATTTAATGCAATGCATTGCGGCCGTAGTGCCTTACTTTGGCCTAATGTTGGCCATAATCCTGACCGCTTTTAGATGCTGGGATATGACTAGTGCACTGTAAAGCTTTCGGTATAGAATAACTAGTACGCCGGATAAATCATCTGACTAACTCGACAACTTTTTTACTACCTTACTCTATCCAGATAAGCTTAATAGATATGATTCTTATTATATATAATAGAGAATTTCTGGTTTATTTAATATGGAAGTGTTTTGAATTTTTAACTTCACGTTATGATAGCGAAAAACGAATGTAGATATAGTGTTGAATTGTATAGAAACCTTTTTTTATAGTATGTCACGCTGCCTTAAGGTAAATATCCGTTGCCGAGTCTAACCCCGTTACTGCTGTTTAGCTATTACTTCTGAAGCCCTACTTATCCCACGCGCCGTCTGCCGCTTACCGCTTGCTGTCGCCTATTACTTCACTTGCTAAAGTCGTTTTTATGACGATAGTAAGTGAGCCCCAAGGTCAATGTTGCGTACTACTTTACTTAAAAATCAAGCGATGTATGGATTTATATGGTAGAAATAGCTTTTATTTAGGCACCCACGGGCCTCTGTAATTGTAATTCAGGTATCTTGATTTTTCTGTCATATCAAATTAAGGCATAACACCGTATGCATTAAATCCGAAAGTAACCCCAGCCGCTAACCCTGTTTGAATTTGAGCCTCCAAAGGGAATCAGCCCTGATGCAACCCTGTCCCGCATACCAATCGAAAGCTTGTCTCTTATCTCATCTAGTCTCCCACTTTATATTAGAGATATATCCTTCCAAAAAAAGCAAAAGTAAAATAACCAGCCACCTTTGTAAGCCTATGTCTACTGGACCCTTGAAGTTTTCTACTTCAGTTCTGCTTGACTTCGAAACCAACTCGTTTACTTACCTTTCTCGGTCTGAGTCGCTGCTGCTATGTTGTCGCATGCGTGCTCCTTTGCCTCCGACAATGTCTGGGGCCCAACAGTGCAACCTTGTCGCCGTTCATTTGACTTTACCTTGCTTTTTGAGCAGTCAATTTTATCAATTCTCCCCTCGTCCATTTTCGTTCTACTCGCCTTCGGCAGATACTACCAACTATGGCAGCAACCTAACCTAGTAACCGGGCGGACGTTATTGGGGATAAAATTGGTGAGTGAAACGGTAGATTGCGGGGGCGTAATAAAAAGTGCCATTTGACTAACTGCAAGGCAAATATTATTCTTTGCCTGCCTTGAAGACATCGTCGATGATCTCGGCCTCTCTCCAACTTGCTCTGTTGGTTCTATATTGTTTCGCGCCCGAGGACCGCACAAAAGCGTCAATTGCTGCTACCACATTGAACTTGATAGGAGCGCTTATCCTGGGACCTATCACCTATGCAGAGCATAGAAAGACCACACGCCCGTCATTTCTGATCAATGGATACTTCCTAGTAGCCATTTTACTCGATGGAACTCAAGTACGATCTTTATGGCTAGCCAATGTGAAGGGAAGTATCGTGGGGGTCTTTACGGCAACTTTCGTGATGAGAGGAATACATATGATTGCGGAATCCTTCCCCAAAACAAGATGGCTCACTCAGGGGGATGGTCATAAGAGCAGCCCCGAGGATTTTGCTGGGATAATATCCAAAACTTTCTTCCTCTGGATCAACCAACTTATCCGCATTGGCTATGTGCGTGATCTGAGTTTTCCAGATCTCTTCCCTATGCCAGCAGGTTTCTCATCAGTAACCCTAGAACAGGACCTATGGACTGTTTGGGAAAAGGGTATTTCTATTATGCTTCGTATTCTCCTGCTTGGTATTCGATCTAATTGCTTCTTCTTTTCTCAGCATCCAAGACTGGAAAATATGTCCTTTTATTGTCCACATTCAGCGCTTTAAAGATCCGTCTTCTAAGTCCACTCCTGCCCAGACTATGTCTTATCGCCTTGACACTCGTTCAGCCTTTACTGCTAATTCAGATGGTCAAGTACATCAATGCGCCTGACACACAATCCGAGCGGAATATCGGCTATGGTCTGCTTGGCGCTTACGCAGTCGTCTATGTAGGAATTGCTGTAAGACACCATTCATCCCATACAGCAAGCTCTACCCTCAGATCACTAACTTGATTGCAGATGTCTACAGCATGGTATTGGCATCAAACGTATCGATTCATTACTTGTGTGCGAGGAGCATTGGTGGCGGTCATTTACCGCAAAACCCTCGATCTCAACGTCTCAGCAGTCAGCAAGTCTTCCGCGTTAACCATCATGAACGCCGATATCGAGAGAATAGTAGGTGGTCTACGGATGATGAACGAAATCTGGGCAAATATTGTCCAAGTTGCCTTTGCAGCCTGGCTGCTGGAACAACAAGTTGGCGTCGCTGTTGTTCCTTCTCTTGTCATTGCATCCGGTAATGTTACGAAAGTTCGGTATCGGACGCTCTCTGAAAGAATCTAACTTGTAGTGTAGGATGTGCTGCCCTTACCATGAAAATTGGAGCATCTGCTGGTCATCAGCAAGAAGTTTGGATGGAGATGATCGAAAAGCGGGTTGGTACGTTGCTGGTGTTGAAGTGTATTCTTCAAGTTCAAAAGGCTGATTCTCCACAGGGATAACTTCAAGTACCCTGTCTGCAATGAAAGGCTTGAAGATGTCTGGCCTGGCTGACATATTGATAAATCTGTTACAACGGTTGAGGGAGAAGGAGCTTAAATCAGCTGCAAGGTATAGGTGGTGGCAAATCGGTGCATTGATGATGGGTTCGTTATAGACCTTTTTGCCCTAGAATCTTCAACCTGATGAATTCCCTAACTATGGATTAGGATTTACTCCCGTTATTATCTCACCCGTTCTCACATTCGCAGTTTTCATTGCGGTTGATCACACACGCCACATCACATTGGATGCCGGTCGGATGTTCTCAGCCCTGTCGCTGCTTACATTAATCTCACAGCCATTAAGCATACTATTCCAGTCCACACCAGAATTGGCCTCGATGATCGCTTGCTTCCAACGAATCCAGAAGTTTCTACTCACAGAGCCGAGACTGGATTCGAGAAGAATTGTATGCTCCGCAGCGACCATTCCAGCACTTGAGGAAAGCTCTGCCGCCGAAAAGAATGAGCCTGCAGTATCCAGCACTGCCATTTCTATAAATAGCGCGACTTTCACTTGGCCCGACAGTGCACGCCCTGTGCTTGAAAATATCAGTCTTTCCATTCCACGGCAAAAGCTGACCATAATATTTGGGCCTGTTGGTTGTGGCAAAACCACTTTGCTCAACGCACTTCTCGGTGAGATCTCGGCCTCAAAAGGTGAGGTTGTTGCCACGAGTGCTGACTTTGCATATTGTGATCAAACGGCCTGGATCATGGATGGAACCCTGAAGGACAACATTGTAGCATTTTCGGATTTTGATGAAAAGTGGTACCAGACTGTCCTCCATACCTGTGCTCTTGACGAGGATATACTCCATTTCCGTGATGGAAATGACACAAAGTTGGGCGATCAAGGAGTGAATCTGAGTGGTGGTCAGAAACAACGCGTGGTATGTCACTTCACTCACCTCGCGGTCCTATTTTTCTTCCATTTTTCTCTTCCCCAGAATGATGCAATACAACGTGATATACAGTACTCTAACGAAACTTCAAGTCCCTCGCGCGAGCTATCTTTGCAAGACGCGAAATCAACATTGTGGATGACGTCCTGAGTGGTCTCGACGCTACTACGGAAGCCAAGATTATCCAGCGCTTGGTAGGACCAGATGGCCTCTTACGAAAGAATTCCAGTACTATGATACTGGCAACTCATGCTGGTGAGATAGTTCATGCTCTCTTACTTTCCCATCCCCATCCTGTCAAAGCCAATTGACTAACTGCCGGGTTTCAACGTTTAGTACACCTCGCGTCATATGCCGATCACATAATTTGCATTGGATCTAATGGTCGAATCGTAGAACAGGGATCATACTCTGATATTTGTCAACACGACAGCTATCTACCCCGGTCTAGTCCGTCCGAGACTCATACCTCTACTACAGAAATTGAAAAACAGGAAGCGTCGCCAAGTATAGATGATAATCCAGAGACTGATAAAAAGCCACAGGTTGCTGTTTCCGAGACAAGGTCAAGTTTGGCGGCTACAGAGCCAAAGAAGACCACAAATGTGATGGTATATTATATGCTGTCCATTGGGAAGTTCTCGTCTGTGGCTTATGTGGTCATTGCTGTTGCTTATGCTTTCCTCTACTGCTTTCCATGTAAGACCACTTTTCTTGAGATAATATTCGTTTCCTTCTTTTATGGTGCTAACGAACATGTATAGATATTTGGGCTAAGTGGTGGACTGATACCAATGAGAGACACCCTGGGTATCACGAAGCCATTTACATGGGGATATATGCCCTCTTTCAGACTACTTGTCTTCTCCTTCTTGCCGTTCTGGGATGGTAAGTTTATTTCTCATCTAATGATTCAGTAGTTTGCTCTGTTCGCTAACCTATTCTTTTCCAGGCATGCTGTTATCAACGTTGTTTCGTCTGCTGGTCTATCCCTTCATTGGACTGTTCTACAAACAACATTCCGGTACGTCTGAAATTAGCTATTTCAAACACGATCCAAAGCTAATAGCAGGAACAGGGCACCAATCTCTTACTTCCAGGAGACAAATATCGGGTCTCTTATCAACAGGTCGGTTAAACTGTCATTACTCAATGCATCTTTGAGTTTCTAATTTCCTCGGAACCAACAGGTTCAGTCAGGACATGCAGCTTATTGACTCGGAATTACCCCTGGCTCTTTTGAATATATTCTGTAGTAAGTGCAACCTTTTTTTTCGGGTCATCATCATGTCACTAAATTTAAATAGGTGGCCTCATCATGGTTGGGCGGATACTCATTATCATGACTTCATCGTACTGGGTGGCAATCTCATATCCTGTTATGTTCTTGGTCATGTTCGTGCTCCAGAAGGTGTACCTGCGCACATCACGACAGCTTCGGAAGATGGATTTAGAGAACAAGGCCCCTTTATAGTAAGTGCGATGCCTGAATCCTTGATTGTTCGATTGCAACGAAGGCCAATTCTAATTTTCATCTGATTTTCATCTGCATCAGTTCGCAGTTCATGGAGTCTATCGAAGGACTAGCTACAGTCCGCGCATTCGGATGGCAAGCAAAATTCATCGAGCAGAACCACCAAAACTTGACGAAGTCGCAGATACCTTTCTACCTTTTGTTCTGCGTCCAAAGATGGCTGGCATTGGTAATGGAATGTTTGACTGCAGGATTTGTTCTTCTTTTAATCGGTCTTATTATTGGCTTGAAAGATAAGATCAGTGCAGGCTTCGCAGGCGTTGCTCTCTCCAGCGTGATGAGCTTAAGTGGCATGCTGACCGATATCATCATGGTATGGACCGAGTTTGAGACTTCACTGACGTCGGTTGAGAGAGTCAGAGACTTCGAAGCTGAGACCCCGGTCGAGGCACTCCCTATGGAGAATATAACCCCTCCTGGGAGCTGGCCGGATCGGGGCCATGTCGAATTCAGGAATCTTGCTGCCACGTACAAGTAAGTTAGAATTCCCTTGCTGGTTTTTTATACCAGGACTTCCAAGTCTGTACTTTCTTGATATGTACTGACACTTCCACTGCTAGAAACGGTACCGCCACGGTCCTTCGCAACATTACCTTAGATATCAAACCAGGGGAGAAAATCGGAGTATGCGGTCGGACCGGAAGGTTAGTGAGCCTTTTTTTCATCTGTCGACATTTAATCGGCGCAGAATATCAAAACTAACTCCCGCTCTCAATAACAGTGGTAAATCTTCCTTGATGATGGCATTATTTAAAATGATCGATGTGGCTGAAGGGAGTATTGTGATTGACGACCTCGACACATCGACTATTCCAACCAATACTGTTCGCACGGCAATGAATGCAATCCCGCAAGAACCGTGCTTCTTACCAGGATCCATCCGAGAGAACATGGACCCGCATGGGTTATCAGACGATGAGAGTATCCTTCGCGCGCTTTCCTCTGTTCAACTGTCAGACATAATTCAAAAGAAAGGAGGTCTCGACGCCGGAATAGAGCAGGTCAATTTGTCTCATGGACAAAAGCAGTTGTTTTGTTTGGGGAGAGCGACGCTCAAGAAGTGCAAGATAGTAGTACTTGACGAAGCCACAAGCAAGTAAGTCGCACTTTCCCTTCTATTCGATCCCCAATTCTAGGAAATCATGATGTGCTAAAGGTTCACTGTTCCCAAACAGCATTGATATCACTACGGACTGTCTAATCCAGAAGGTCATTCGAGAAAACTTCAAAGAATGCACGGTGATCACTATTGCCCATCGATTGGAAACCATCTTAGATAGTGATCGGATTCTTCTGCTACACTATGGAGAGGTTGTCGAATTCGACACCCCTTCCAGCCTTCTTGGTCGGGCCTCGAAATTTAAGACTTTCTATGAGGCGGCTGGCAGTCAATAAATAATTGAAAATAGTTTGGTAATTTATACTTGAGTGAAAAGGAACTAATTTTGACGACCCGGTATTTCATTCAGTCGAAGTCTGGTCTACTGTGTTGTCTGTCGTGGTCCTGACCCAATTCGCAGTGACGTCAACCGTATAACATAAAACTACTGTCTTCCCCCCTCGTATTACTCTTTCCATTTCCACAATATTTTCTGATTTATCTCCATAATTGAAGATACTGCACTATGTCAAACTCATACATTCTTATTCAAGGCACAACGGTACTCTCCATGGAGCCACCAGAAGGGAAGCCCCTCTACAATTACGACATTGTGATAGAAAATGATCGGATAAAGGCCATCGGCCGCGGTCTATCTGTGCCGAGTGGAAGCAATGTGTCCACCATCGATGGAAAGAATTGTATTATTACTCCGGGGTTCGTCGACGGCCATCATCACATGTGGCAGCACCTTCTACGCGGTATCACGGCTGATTGGTCTCTGTTTGGCTATGCATGTCACCTGAGGAGTGTTTATGGGAGCTTGTACACACCACTTGATGTCTACTTTGCCAATTACGCTGCTGCGTTGAGTTTGCTCAACAACGGCGTAACGACCGTCTTGGATCACTGCCACGTTATAAACTCGCCTGCACACGCCGATGCAGCGGTGAAGGGCTTGAAGGATGCCGCTATTCGAGGCACATTCTGCTATGGGTTCTACCAGAACCCAAAGGATCCCGGGGATCCCGCGAGTACTGCGACAGACACATTTGACCAAGCCGCACGAGTCGATGATGCTCTCCGTGTACGTCAGGAATACTTCCCGAACAATGATCCCGGCACCTCACTTCTCACTTTCGGTATTGCATTGAACGATCCACCGACTATATCCCAGGAACAAAACATTGAGGAATTGGATCTCGCGAGGAAGCTCCAAGCTAGGCTTACGACCGTACATACTTCAGTAGTCCCTCACAAGACCCCCAAGCCTGAAGTTGTCCAAAACATTGTTGATGCAAAGCTGATGGGGTCGGACCTCGTATTCAGTCACGGAGGTGGCATGACAGAGAACGAGCTGGCTGCGGTGCGGACTTCTGGTGCTGGCATTGTTGGGACGCCGGATACGGAGCTGCAAATGGGCATGGGATATCCTGTGGTATGGAAAGCTGCTGATATGGGCTGTCGGGCGTGTCTTGGACTAGACATCACTTCGAATCAAGGTAATGATTTCCTGGCGCAGATGAGGTTGGCTCTTCAGACGCAACGGGCTCGCGACTACGATCATCATACAGTCCAGAGAGATGTCCGCAGGAAGACAGTAGATGCATTACGCATGGCAACGCTGGGAGGGGCAGTGGCTATGGATATGGGGTCGTTTCTTGGTTCTATCGTTCCTGGTAAAAAGGCTGACCTGGTGATTTTCCGCTGTGACGACATTGACACAGTGCCCGTTGTGGATCCTGTCGCGACTGTGGTCTTCCATGCATCGCCAAAGAATATTGACACCGTTATTGTCGACGGAAAGATTGTCAAGCAGAATGGCCGGCTTGTCGGTGTTGACTGGGAGGCCCTACATGATCAGATGATATGTAGATCCCGGCGACTGACGGATGAAGCAGCCAAAGTCGACATGGAAAAGGCGGAATCGCTGTTCCACTCTATTTTCGAGAAGGCCATGGAGAAGTAAATGCTATAAATAAAAGATAGTTTCTTTCCTGCGGGTGACCTGATGTGACCATTCAATTAATCGTACCAAGCGGGACCTTCGCATTATACCAATACCATCTAGGACAGGCTTTTGAGCGAACTGGGAACCCAAATGTTGACAAGTCATACATGAAAGCCAGAGGGTATAACTCCACTTTGGCCTTCTCCGATTTTGTCTGGCCTTCTTTCGATGCTATCACTCCCCACGTAGCATCCCTACAGTTCCCAGGTCCGGCAATCCGGGCACTACCGGAACAGGAGCGAATCGCGGTGCTAACACCCTTTTTTTTCGGGTCAATCTACGGGGGAAATTCGAACGGGCTCTTGCGGCGAAGCGATACGCAGCCCACAAAGGCTAAAGGAAATATTTCAACTACGTGTTGCTTCCATGATTCATACCATATTATATTGAAACAGAGTATACACTACTATGTACAGACAGGCAGGTGACGGCTGCACCCTTTCACGTATAAAATGATACTTTATTTTGCCTCTTAACTAGCCTGTGCCTTATCGTTTTATGCATAACAGTGTTCCAGGCCTTAGCCCCGGGGGCCAAACGACGGGGCTAGATGATGGGGCCAGATGACTGGATCAGTGTCGAATCAGTGGCGAATTTGCCAATCTACTTCCAGTTTCAATGATTCAAGTATCAATTATTAAAATAGAAAATTTTTCAACCAATAATTCTCAGGATGACCACTAAAGAATTTGTGCTGATTTTAGTGTTGGGGGGGAGTGAGTTGGGAGGAATCCCTAAACACCTGTAACATGTGTTGCCTGACATTCCCAACGGTTCAACACTTTCTTGCTGAAAGCAACGCAACTGACCATTGACTTGATATGAAATAATTAGACAGTTCTTTATATTAAATAACCTAGATTCAATGTCCTCAATCTGAATACTTCCACCTCACAGCCATCAATTCACTCAATCCCAGATTTTCATAAACTTGCGCAAGAGAGAGGCCTTGGGTTTTCAAATCCACTGCCACAATGGCCAAACCTGAGCCAAGTACCGGAAAACAACATATCAGTGAGAAGCCCGTCACACTCGGTAACTGGTACCAGCATGTCAACTGGGTCAACACAACCCTGATCCTGATCGTACCCGTCGGTGGTATCGTCGCTGCTTTCTATACACAGCTGAGGGCAATCACTGCTGCTTGGGCATTTATCTACTACTTCTGGACTGGGCTGGGTATCACTGCTGGATACCATCGTCTATGGGCGCACAGATCCTACGAAGCGTAAGTTTCCCACAGCCTCATCCCCCCTACTTTGTTTCGGATCAAGCACTAACTGGCATCTGACATCTCCAGTTGCCTTCCAATCAGAATATTCCTCGCATGTGTCGGCGGTGGTGCCGTCCAAGGCTCAATCCGGTGGTGGAGCAGTAAACACAGGGCACACCACCGATGGACCGACACAGTCAAGGACCCATACAGCGTCATGAAGGGTCTTTGGTATTCGCATTTCATGTGGATGGTTCTGAATCAGAACCCGAAAACCCGTGGTAGGACCGATATCTCTGACTTGAATGAGGACCCCGTCGTCGTCTGGCAGCACAAGAACTACGGGTCTGTCGTCTTGGTCTTCGGGATGTTATTCCCTATGCTCGTTGCTGGTCTGGGATGGGGTGATTGGAAGGGGGGCCTTGTGTATGCGGGCATTCTTCGATTTTCATTTGTGCAGCAAGCCACCTTCTGCGTCAATTCTCTCGCCCATTGGTTGGGTGAACAGGTCGGTCATCGTCCATACGCTGTTCTTGTTATATTCCCGCTCACTCTGACACGCATTAGCCATTCGACGACAGGAACTCACCTCGCGATCATGTCGTTACTGCACTGATCACTCTCGGTGAAGGTTACCACAACTTCCACCACGAGGTAAGAAGGTTCTTTCCCTTTCATTTGCCTCGCATCCACTAAACCCCGACCAGTTCCCCTCCGACTACCGAAATGCCATTGAATGGTGGCAGTATGATCCCACGAAGTGGTCAATCTGGGTGTGGAAACAGCTCGGTCTGGCAAGCAACCTCAAGGAATTCCGAGCCAACGAAATCGAGAAGGGTCGTGTGCAACAATTACAGAAGAAACTCGATCAGAAGCGCTCTAAGCTGGATTGGGGTGTTCCCCTAGACCAGCTGCCTGTTGTCGACTGGGACGATTTTATTGCAGAAACTCAGAGTGGTAAAGCTCTAGTTGCTATTGCCGGTGTTGTTCACGATGTGAGCAAATTTATCACAGAACACCCTGGTGGTAAAACCCTCATTTCATCGGCCATTGGGAAGGATGCTACTGCCATGTTCAACGGCGGTGTCTACACTCACTCGAATGCTGCTCACAACCTCCTTTCTTCCATGCGAGTTGGGGTTATTCGCGGTGGTGGTGAGGTTGAGATTTGGCGTCACCGGAACTGCCAAAAGGGTCTTTATGCTTGAGCTTTCGGGAAGAAATTAGAGGTCAATTTGTCAAGTTTCAAGTTTCACGAGAATATGAATATGAATATCCGTTTTGACCAAGCAAAGCTGGAAATATCTGTCGAATACTAAGTCCGAATACATGGTAGAAACCAGGTAATATACCGGGAACATCATGTGACATCGGGTACCAGGCATACCATACAAAAGTGCATATTACAGTTAGTCATCATGGTCCGCACAGATTGTTGAAATAGCGGGTTTTGTCATTTTAGTTAGTTAGAGTTGTCAACATTGGTCATTTATACCATACATTCATTGTTCGTACACCAGCTTTCCGTCAATATCCAATATTTCAGATTTACCTGGATTAAGGGGCATGCTAAACAAAACCGGAGTTAGGAGATAAGCTTGGAGCTCAGTCGCTTTCTACGATCAATTACGTCGTATTCTCACAAACAATTTTCTTAGATTCTTCTGGTCGCTGGGAGTTGGCGTAGTATTCAGCATTTTGACTGCCAAGACTTCGTTTTCTCTTCCCTCACTTCATCACTCCCTCACTCTCGCCTTATCTCCCTTCCTCACTGTGTACTTGGGAATGTGTCGGACGACTGCCAATGTGCTTTTTCGGTGTAATTATTCATTCTTTATGTCCTATGCTGGATCTGACCTTGATTTGATCCCTCAGTTCACGTCATTCAGAGCCCTTGCTAGCTCTTGCGAGAAAAATGAGTGGCACTAGCATTAATGGCCCAATCGCGAAAGATCCATCGACGAAGACAGAAAACAGTCGCCATGGTTATCACACATCAAAACCCAATAAAGACAGCCGAAATTTGGACTTTATTTTACGAAACGGGCTAGCCGGAGGTGTCGCAGGCTGCGCTGTGAGCCTTACCGCCTAAACTACCACCAGTAGATTGCTAATATCAGAGTCAATGTAGGCCAAAACCATTGTCGCCCCATTAGAGAGGATCAGAATTCTCTTTCAAACCTCCCACTCTCATTTTGTGCAGTATTCAACCCGCTGGGATGGTTTTGTTCAGGCTGCCAGACACATTCGAACCTCGTATGGTATCCTTGCGCTTTTCAAAGGCCACTCGGCAAGCTTGGTCCGCGTATTTCCATACGCTGGTATCAACTTTCTCGCATATGAGCAATTCCGAGCAGCAATTATCACGTCTTCCGAGAAAGAAGCACCATGGCGTCGATTTTTGTGCGGAAGTATGGCTGGTGCGACCTCCACGTTGGTTACATATCCTTTGGAGTTGATCCGTACACGTCTTGCTTTCGAAACAGTCCAAAAGAATCCTTCATCCTGGATTGGTATCTCTCGAAAAATGTACTTTGAAGGAGGCAGCGGAAGCTTGTCAAATCTTTATCGAGGGATTGCCCCCACTATGCTAGGCATACTTCCGTATGCTGGCACGTCATTCCTCACCCATGATCTACTTAGAGATTGGCTTCGGACGCCTGCTCTTGCACCCTATACTCTGGAGGCGCCATCTTCCACCCGACTGACCGCAGTTGCGCAGCTTTCCTGTGGGGCAGTTGCTGGCATAGTCGCTCAAACAATTTCCTACCCGATTGATATCATTCGGCGACGAATTCAAGTTGGAAGTGTGGTTGATGTTAAATCGGGCATTTTGGAGACAGCCCAGCGTATCTTTCTGGAGAGAGGAGTGAGAGGCTTTTATGTTGGGCTGACTATTGGCTATGTGAAAATGGCTCCCATGGTGGCGACAAGTTTCTATGTCTATGATCGGATGAAGCGATTTTTGGGGCTAATTGAGTAGCCGCTTTCTCTTTCTCGTGCTTGGATATTGAGATTCTGTTAGGATCGCATTTTTTCATTGTATAGTAGTAATTGTCGAATACCAAGTCTGAATACATGGTAGAAACCAGATAATATACTGGAAACATCATATGACATTAGGTACTAGGCATACTATACAAAGGTGCATATTACAGTTAGTCATCATGGTCCGCACAGATTGTTGAAATAGCGGGTTTTGGCATTTTAGTTAGAGTTGTCAACATTGGCCATCTATACCATACATTGTTCGTACACCAGCTTTCTGTCAAATATTTACCACTGCTTCAGCGATATAGGCAGGGTTTTTTGCATCGATTGAGTTGGATTGTACATTGGATCAGGCCCTATCTAAACCCTGAATAGACAGAGCGGGATTTATATAGTTGTATAGTTTTCCCTCTGTGTTCTTCTTCCCACTTTACACCCGAAATGGTTTAGTTTCATTTGTCGTGATTTCGGGATTCTCGACACTTCGAGAATCCAGGCTTTCAACCACTATGTTAACTAAATACAGAATTGTATTATAATACAGTCAACCTCTCGCTCATGGCACGCCCAGAGATAACACGCATCGGGTTATAGACTAAGAATGCCGCCTATAGTGCATTTTTGGTCTAGCGGCATTACGCCCAGTATGCTTTCCGACATATTTGTACCTCAATTCCACGTCGTATCAACCAATTTAAGTACATCCATGCGGTGATTCACATTGTCTAACAGGGAAACAAAAAGCGCAACCGGCCCCTTGTTACGACACATACTGGTAATCTGGATACTTCTGTCACCCTTCAAGCATAAGCACGCCTAGCCGTGCCGTCAATCAGCTCGGACACATACTTTCGGAACGGTATGAAGTCCACATCCGGATATAACTCCTTGCCATCCAAGTATCCTAAATAGCGGGCATAGTCAGGCGTGTTATCCCCTCGCACACAAGTGGAATAAGTGTACTGGGCAACAGCCAATGCCGATTGAGCTCCCTTGTCCCCCAAACCAGCAGCCTCAGCCGCTATTTGCGCAGAAACAACGCGGGCCATTGCATCTTCATTAGAAATCTGCGCGTCCTTGTCAGTTGACGGTGCAAATGAATCAGTTACGGGGTACACATACGTAGTTATAATCTAGCTTCTCGCCACTTGCTTCCTCCATGATCTGGAAGATCTCCCGCTGTGTGAGGACCTCGCTGTACGCAAATACCGACTTGTTCAAAGTCCGAGGGTCAGTGATGATTCTGGCTACGTAGCGGCCGATATCACGAGAGTCTGTGATAGCAGAGGGAACATTGCCGTCGCCATAGAGCCCCTCCATAGGCAAAATGACCAACTGGTCGATGCGTCCAGAGGGAAGCCTGGGTGGGGTAATCTGGTACCACCAACCAACATCGATGACGGTGTACGGGAGGTAGATCTTCTTGATATGGTTCAGGACCTCCTCTTTCTGAGTTTCGTGTTAGCTATTGTAACCTTTGTGATATCAGGTGCGTTACTGTACCGTCTCTCGAATGCTGAGTGCACCCTTGGGCGGAACAATTGTAGCGAAAAAAGTCGGAACGAAGCGTTTGACACCAGCCTTCTTCGCCGCATTCGCTAGAGGAATCTGCAGTAGAAAAGCTGAAGCGTCGAGCACAGCAATAACAACATCGGCGCCGGTAAGGATTTTGACCAGATCCTCTTCAGGTCCACTAAGGTCGGCTGCTACGATCTCAACGCCAGCATCCTTTAAGGCTTGGTTCTTGACGCTGTTGAGTGACGACTGACGCGTCACAGCCGTCAAGTCCTATAAATTGGTTAGGATAATGTTAGAATGGACACATCAGGACCTTACAAACTGGGTGCGATATTCAAGCAAGCCCTTGGTAATGGACTGGCCAGTCTCGCCAGTTGCTCCAATGATGACGACCTTCATCTTGAAAATAGGCTCGAATGAGTTTGAGAACGTGTACCTTTCTAAGAGGTTAGATTGGAATGAGTAGTGAGAAAAATTTCCGGCACCAGCGGGGCCCCAAAGCTTATATACGTAGAATGCTGGTAGGTCCGAAAAATGTATTACAAATAAAGCCCAACCGCAACTCAAGGCAATGCGCTCATTGACGACTGAAGATACGAGTCATGCCATTAGCCGTTACAGTATCATAATGCTTACTGAGCACAATTATGCTTGATGTCCTGGAGAGTAATGGAATGTTACATAACTCCGCTAATATCCGACTCCACTCTTCAACTCTCTGACGTGGATGACTATTCTGGCCAATCAGAGATCGTCATAGCTCAATCTGCCAAAGATAGTTAGAGTTTGGAAAGCTAAAGTGACTTACAAATCACCCAAACGCGGATTAGTTAACTAACTCTATTTTACTCCGTACGCAGTTATTTGTCCATGCGGCTGACGAAGCATACATAGTATTTTGTCTTTCCAAAAACTATTGATTTCTCGTAGATTTGTAATTTTGGACTTGGCGGTCACGGTGCCTGACGATTCGACGGCTATTTCTATGCGGAATTCCCAAGATCTGAAAAGCGCTCACCTATGTCTGGCTCCTATCTACCCAAGCATCGCTCTTATCTACCCAGGCGTTGAAGCTTGGCCAGCATACTGTGACACTCGGTTGTATAGCTTTGAGCTGTTAAAGAGACGCATTTTGCAACAACTTTCCAACACTTATTCCCAGCCAAAGTCTGCAAAACCAAGCGGATCATAATGGTCGCAACCACCACGGACCACGAACTCATCCGCAATTGCATCTCGCGCTACTGCATTGGCGTCGATCTCAGAGACTGGGAAATCTTCTCCAGAGCCTTCACGAACAACGTCAAAGTATCCTTTCCTGCACCCGCTGAGAGCACCGAAGGAATCGCAGCACTCACGTCCTCAGTGCAAGGCATGGTCGGCATTCTCCAAACACAGCATGCTTTGAGCACGCAGGTCATCGAACTGACGGGCGAACGAACGGCAGAAGCCACGACTTATGTCAGCGCCGTCCTGTCCGGTGTGGGCAAGAACGAAGGTAAATTCGTGACTAGTTGGGGCATGTATCAGGACAAGCTTGTGAAAGACCTTTTTGAAGGTAGGGAAGATTGGAGGATAGCTGAGCGGATAGCCAGTTCTTGGCTGCCTTTGACTGGGGATTTGTCCTTACTTTCAGCGTAGCCAGCTTTTGATCAGATGTCTCTGTGTCGAGGAATGTGGGCTCGATACTTGCCGCCGAAATATTTAGTTTCATTTTTGTCGTGATTTCTTTGTTTGTCGTAAGGATTCTCGGAGTGTCGAGAATCGGGGACTCTCAACCTCCTGACCCCAGGCATGTAAGCAATGACCCCCCAACTTGTCATTGCACACTCTGCTCCTTTTCATCTCTTCAATTGAATTCAACTCGACTTTTTGGATTGGTTCCCCTTGGTAGATTGGCCCCATTCTTGCATACAATGCCATACTGTATTAGCTTGCTGTCACACTATGGCAGGCGCAGGCAGTGAGTTGTTCTCATGCTGTAAGATTCGCCATGGTCAAAGCACCTTAACGTCGATTTGTGTTACAAAATTATTTCCATCAAGCGTAGGAATAACAAAACAGAATTTCAAGATAAAATGATAGACCCTCGAATCGAGGCATCCACGGCAGCCTTCCTAAGCAGGGCGCGCAGTTCATTTTCGAATGTGCCTCGATAGCAAACATTGAAAGCCCATTTGAAAGTCGCGAAGCGAGCGAAAGTGTGATTTCTTCCTTTAAAAGACGACGCGTCAATGATCGGGAAGGTAAATATGTACACAGCTCCTGGGCCAACCCCCACCCACTGGTCAAAAAATAAAGGTGATATCAGAGTGTGCCGAAGGGTCGAAGCTGATGACAGAAAGCTGGTGTACGAACAATATATGGTATAGATAACCAATGTTAACAACTCTAACTAACTAAAATGACAAAACCCGCTATTTCAACAATCTGTGCGGACCATGATGACTAACTATAATATGCACTTTTGTATGGTATGCCCGGTACCCAATGTCACATGATGTTTCCAGTATATTATCTGGTTTCTACCATGTATTCAGACTTGGTATTCGACAGCTGAGTAAGATACTGGCAATACGCGGGTCGGATAAAAGTTTTAACGAGCGAGAAGCTAGTGCTACTCTGTTTCATTTCTGCCCGTTGAAAAGGCACACAAGATTCTTCGGCCTGTTATCGCGGCGATTACGAAAGAGGACGACATTGTAAACGTCTAGTGAGATTCAGTAGTTTAGGTATTTTCCAGTCCTTGGAGTTCGTGCCCGACACCGACTGCAGGCACGGGAACGTCGCGGATGTCGACATCAAGGTCTTTGTTATATACGCTTCCTGCATGGTTGTGGATGGTGCGGGCGTTGCTGTTCAGTATTCTGCTCTCTCTGTCAAGGTCACAGACTTTTGTGGCCATGGCAGACTGATTATATATACCTAATTATTTTAGGTACAGCCAACCGCTATACCAATACATCCGGACAATTGGCTTTTGGACCTGGGGTCACTGTTCGATGGGATGCATAACTTATGTCGGGGTTGAGGCAAGACAGATTCACGCATTCACACCAATCTTCTTCCCGTCGGGCAGTCTTTCTCTCCGGGTCGGTCTTGGCGAATCAAATGTCTTCATAACTCAATCCGATCACAAAAACTACTCGAAAAGCTCAAGTGATAAATTAATAATGGTCGGATTCAAGCCGCCTTCGTCATCTATTTTGTCTATAGGTTGCTTACTGTGCTACGGCGGGATGGGTCTCACGGGCATTATTCATCATTGAGAAACCTTCCTTGCCGAGTACTTCATATTAACTTACCATGTTATGTTAGTAACTTTCTCGATAATCTCCATTCTCCACAATTTGTCGCGTTGGTTTATCAGCAATCTGGACAGCCCCGCAGCACCCGGATTTCATTATTGACTACTCGCTCATTGTGTAGACACGCAGGTACGACTGGACCGCGTGTAGTATCATTAATGGGGAAGTCAATTAGTACAACTTTGGATGCGCGTGGAGCTTGTAGAGGGGAGAGCCGGGCTTGGCTGCGCAATGGCGTTCAGGCATTGCTCGAGTGACCTAAGTCGCGCGTCGTCGGCCGGGAAGAGCTAGCTTAATGCTTCTCACCAGTGGGTCCCATAGTTATCGGATTCTCAAATTAGGCAAGAATATAGGCATTGCGTGTAGGAAGATATGGATTGCCGGAACTCAAAACGAGCACCCCACAAAGTGTCACCTACCTGGACATTCCACTTGCCACTACACCAGTGACGCTATCATTAGGCTCTGCCGAGAACTAAACCTTCAGCAATGATAATGCCCAACGTAATCTCTCCAGGTCAACGCAGTCTTAGCAGTATAAAATGCCAGTCTTTACCTCCCGCAAAGCCTTTACTTATGCCAACGTTCATTGTCCCTGAACCTTTCATCATTGAATCTGTTCTTTCCCAGCTACAACTCACAAAATGACCATGTCGAAACCGAATTGGCAGGCTCTCATTAACGAGAAACGCGCTTTCCGAGAATCGCAAATCCCGCTTGAATGGCGTCTAGATGAGATGATCACGAGCCAGGCTCATCGTGACAACCCTATCAGTGCCTTTGACCTTCTTGATCAGACTGATATTCTTACCCAACATGAACGCGACATGACTGAAAACTACGATGCCACAGCCCTTCTCGCGCAGCTCGCCTGTGGTGCAATCTCATCACTGGAGGTCACCGAGGCATTTTGCAAACGTGCAGCTATCGCGCATCAGTTGGTCCGTTCCCAGTTTATCACCCCGCTCTCTTGATGGTCCTGACATTGTAAAGTTCAACCCCTTAACAGAGATATTCTTCGATAAAGCTTTAAATCGAGCAAAACAGCTGGATGCTTTCCTGGCCCGGGAGGGGAAGCCCATGGGACCCTTCCATGGATTGCCAATCAGCCTCAAAGTCTGTGCTACTCTCTTTCCTTCTGCCTTATAGTGCCATTGGAAGGGTACGTACTTACAACCGAATCTAGGACACGTGGATGGTCAAGGGTGAGGCAGCTACTTTGGGCTTCGTCGCATACTTGACTAAGCCAGTGGCCGAGGAAAATTCGCCCATTGTCGACATACTGTTAGATGGTGGGGCGGTCCTCTATTGTAAGACCAACGTCCCCCAGGGACTTTTCGTAAGTTTCAACCCAGCATGATACACCTGGTGGGCTTGTGGTATGCTCACAAAACAATTAGACATTGGAGGGTGAAAATAATGTTTTCGGGCTTACCATGAATCCGCACAAACTTACCCTGGGTACTGGAGGCAGCAGCTCTGGGGAAGGGGCTTTGGTTGGATTCCGGGGCTCTCCTCTCGGCCTCGGTACAGATATCGGCGGTTCAATTCGAGTGCCATCTCACGTTAGTGGCTGCTACGGTTTCAAACCAACGGCAAATCGAATTCCATTTGCGGGCCAGCAGTTCCACTTCCGCAAGGGATGGCCAGGCATGTTGCCTTCGGCTGGACCCCATGCAAATAGCGCGCGCGATCTCATGTTTTTTTGCAGAACCATCATTTCAAAGGAGGGCTGGAAAAGGGACTCCGCGTCCCTAGCAATTCCCTGGAAAGATGTTCGCAAGAAGAAGCTCAAAATTGGTTTCTGGCAGGGCGCACATGAAACCCCGGTCTTTCCCCCAGTTCTCCGAGCACTTCGTAAGGCTGCTGAGGTACTCGAAGCTGCTGGACACGAGATTGTGCCAGTGTCAACACCTGAGGGTGCTGGTACTTCCCAATGCCTTAATATCTATGTGCACTCTCTTGGTTTTGACACAAAAGCTACTCTGATGAAGTTCCTTGATGATGCTGAGGAGGAGATTCTACCCGGCATGAAGGACTTTAGGAATCTGATGGCTGACATACCCAAAAGTACTCTTGACGACGTCTGGAAGTTCTATGCTGATCGCGCTGATTTCCGGACTGCGTGGCATACGAAGTTTACAGATGCAGACATAGATGTCTTGCTTTGCCCCTGTCACCAAGGAACTGGCATGCCTCACTCTGGGTATGGCTTGCCAATTTACGCTATGATCTGGAACCTACTGGATGTGAGTAAGAAACAGCCTTGCATAGTAATCTATGGCTAATTCTCTACAGTGTCCCGCTAGTGTTGTCCCTTTTTTGAGGTCAAACAAGAATGTGGACAGTGAGAAGATTGAAGGATGTAAGCATCCTTCTACGGATCTAATTCCTCAAGTTTTCATCTCATGTTGAGTGAGATTATAGAAACATACACAAGCTGACATATATAAAAAGTTGATACAGATGCTGTCGACGGTGCGCCTACACACGTGCAGGTAGTTGGCTGGAGTTTCCGCGATGAAGAGGTTCTAATGGCCACTGAAGTGATTTCAGATGCGCTGGAGAAATTCTCTGTGACGAATTTGTAAATTCTGGACACTCGACACTACATGTAGGCCCTCGTGTGAGAAGGAGGCAGAAACGAAGCTGTTCTGGAAGACTTAAGGAAGAGTTGTCTTTGCATGTTTTTTTCTATTTGTTGCTCTCGTTAAGCCTCCGGGCCTTCTACTTCTTTCCTTTTCCATATTCAGAGTTCATTCCTGCTTTAAACTGTATCAGTTAATCCTCAGTTCATAATCCCCTAACCTGGCATGTAAGTAGAGCTCGATTTCTGGCGTAGTGTCAAAGCTACCGTATGTAGATATAGCGGCCAGGTCCTGCGGGGTAGAAGGTTCAATACCAGCATCTAAGGCCTGAACAAGGGTCGAACCAAACCCGTCAACACTCTCTCTGTATTTGAGTTCCGTGACCTCAGTCGTTCTTGAGAAGCACTCTTAAGTTACTTGTGGTAGGATTGATAGATTTGTCCTGGACCGTAGATGCTTTCTCTTTAGTTTGGCAGGTTGCTGTTTGCGTTGATGGTCTGAGCAGTCAGGAGGTGGTAGGAATCACCGTCAAGACTTCTGTCGATCTTGCAATGGCAACTACAGGCTTGCCAGGATGCGATTGGAGTTGGACATGAGCGTTGGGTGCCTATCGCACAATACGATGAGGCAAAAGCATGTGAGAGAAAGTTGAAATCTGACGCGTTCGATGCGTCTGAAACTGAGGAAGAGAGAATAAGAATTAAGGGAATTGGATTTTTGATGACTTTTGTGAGGAAGACTACATGTGGGTAGAGGGAAAGCCCAGCTTCACCTTCGGGGAAAGGAAGCGACGACAACCATTGCTTAGGAATGTTGAACGGCCGGTTGGGTCGGAGGGTGGAGGCAGCGATTGTGGTAGAGAACTGGAACTGCTCGCAAATCAAACCAGGCAAACTCATATGTTAAGCACAAGGGGCAAGTCAGTGGTGCTTACTACATAATCATGCGTGGCACGCTGATCACAGTAGTCTAGCCAGGCTTCATTCCCACTCGCTGAATATGGCTTCCCCTCATCCGCAGTGAGTTCCTATACACCCGCAATGAGCACTAAAATGGGCCGTAGTGGGTAAGTGTTGCACTGAATATGCATGAAGCTTCGTACGTTCTGGCTCTCGGTTTTTCCTGTTGAGATGAGGGATAGGTTCTAGGAGGAGCGATGACATATGTCAGCCATTGAGTAATCTTGAAGATGTCTGTCTTAAACTAAGATGACCCCTGAGTGGAAGCGTGTTCTACAGCTTCCCAAAAATCCATGTTACCACACAAGGCTAGCTGTTTTGGACCGCCAAGGAGACCTGATCGGTATTGCGAAGGAGGTATTCAACGCTGCTGCTGGAAACAAATGGCAAGGGGGCGATGGCCCTGCTTTTGGACCGTCGAGAAGACCAGAGCGCGATCACCGAAGAGGTAGTCAAGGCTGCCGCTGGAAACCGGGGGAATGGTGAGGAGGTGACGACTATGCTTCTGGACCGTGGAGGAGACAAGCTCATCATCACCGAGAAGATTGTGTCTATCATTGATCGATAATTTTATAGCAAAGTGATGGCACTACTTTTAAGCTGTCGAGGAGAGCAGATAGCTATTACCGAGTAGGTTGTCGAGGTAGCCGTTGAAAATGAAGAGAATGGTCTGAACCGTGGAGGAGACAAGATAACCATTACCGACGAGGCTATGTCCATCATTGCTAGAATCGTTGCTGACAAAGCGATGGAATCGCCTCTGGGCCGTCAGCAGAAGTAAACACCGCACGAACTAAAGGGGATATGTTGCGCTTATCGTCGCTGTACTCTGGAGCGTGACGCGCACTTGTGGTCGTCTTGGTAAAGAAGGAGATATCAAAAGAAATGCTTCGGCGATGCTGCTCCGAGATGCGAGCAGCCTTGTGAACAAGATGATGTTACGAATCAAGATTGGAAGCCATCGATGCGCACTCAGATCTGGTGATCGACGAACTTGCGGAACGGAGGAGCTTCTCTTTTCAGTGTGTCGCAACGATGACGGGATACGGCTGGGGGGAATCGATGATCATCGCCTCCACTGTGGACGTGCTTGATATTTCTGATCAACGGCGCGACTCCACTTCTTCTACTCGGGACGGTTCTCTCGGATGGCCCGCCAATATCCTTCCGGCGCCGTTCCCTCAGCAGACTCTCCGCCACTTGGTGCTCATTCCGGGCCCGGTCCCGTAAACTCTCTTCCCTCATTGATGACTCGTCGAGATGCAGCACGTCTAGCGTGCCTTGGTCGATATAAGGTCAGCTTGATATACCCCGACATTTTGGAGGCTTCTGTTTCTCAGCTAACTAGTATTTCCTTCCTCCGGGATCCACCTTCTCGGCTGCTGCTCCGACATAATGTTTGATTCCTGGTGTTGATGCCTGCTGCTGCAGGCATCCATTATGCATTTAGGTCATCTCTCGCTCTCTCTGTTCCTATCTCAGCTCTTACAGCCTGACATATTGTGAAGCATACGACAAAGGCTATGAGGACAGAAAAATATGGAGAGCAAGGCTCTGCGGACCAGCGGCCTGTGATATCCGAGTCCATTTACTATGCCCTGTTTTCCATGTATCGTCGACAACCCGACTGAAGAGGCGCTCTCAGGTTCTAAGTCCCACGTCTATTAACGTTTCTTCGTCCATCTCAATTAAAAATACAAGGCGATTCCCGAACGTGATATGAAACCACTGGTGCCTTTCCCAAAATATCCCAGTAAATTCGCTTTGTCCGAGGACTAGCGTGTATCTGCAGAGGACTCGGACTCAGGGAACATCAGTTGGCCGAGCGTCATGTCAGGTTCGAAAGTAAATGGCCTGTGTCACATGTTAACGACGATTAGCAACTGCAACTGAGACCACGTTCATCAAGAAGAACATATACAAAGGGCTTCAGAGCCAAGCTTAAACGTACCCATCATTGTCGAATAACCCGCCGGCTGTTGATGGGGCAAAGGGACTCAACATCGTCGAGAAGACATCAAATATCTCCACATCATCATGGCGTACATCGTCTGTCACATCTAGAGTAGAGCCGATCGTGGAACCAAGCGAGGTGTGAAGCGCATCACCCCGGGTAATTGCGGCGGGAGCAAGCGTATGATTGTAAATCTGCCTCTTTGCCTTGGTGAACATCCTGGAAAGTATTTCAGCACCGAAGTATACCGTTTTGAGCTCTTCAATAACCATCATGCAAAATTCAAGGTTGTGACGGCCCATTCGTTGCACCAGCTGTTTCTCAGATTTCGTGTCAAGGAGATGGATTTGCAATGCGGGAACCAAGGCAATGCACCTAGCGATTATTAGCATCCTCACAGTTCGATATTTTATCGGTTCTATGATGGGGCACGTACACCATCGCTTGAGTGCTGCTGATCATATCAGCACTGATCATGTTGCCGAGGATCTTGTTGGTGTTGGTCGCGGCATCTTTGGTCCTCCGCACCACAGTTGATGTCCATTCGTCCGCAGAGACATCGGGCCAAAATAAGTCTGATTTATCAAATATAAATGGCCGGTATAGGATCAACATAACGGACCTATAGCCTGCCAGGCAGTCGAAAACTAAAAAAGGAGATCAGAATTTCACTTACTCTAGATACAGCTCTAGGTGGTACGCATGTAAGGAGACAATATGACTTTGTCGGTGAGCTATGTCGTGGTCTTTGCGAAAATAATACTGTCGGATGTTATCGTCCATGTCCTGTATTTCACCCCTACCGGGTGGTGTCCGCTCCGCTTGATTTTGCCACGAGAGAATCTTCGATAAGGAGACCGTAAGTGCCAACAGCTCTGTCCACAGTTTGGCTAAGTCCCCAGTGCCTTTAGGAAGGTACTTTTGCTGAATACTCTCCTGAATCCCTGCGAGAAAGCTACTAGAGTCGTTATGATCTGGCATCGGGGTACTGCAGTCGGCTAGATTGATGCGCATAGGCCTGCCCATGCCGGCAGAGAACCACACTTCACGGTAAAAGCAGCTCCACCAGATGTGCCGCCAGAGTCTGATGTCGCTAATCGAGATGGCTTTATTGTGTTTTCGGCTGCTGTCTGGCTGCCGATGTAGCCCTATCGTTTGGCACAGACCAATGGCAATGCCGTTCCAGTGCCAAGACCCAGTCCTGTCTTCAGTGTCCGAATACCAGAACCCCATCAGGAGTACTGCCTGAATGAGCGTAATTTTTCTTCTTTCATATTCCGCGTCATACAGAGCCTAGATGAATTTAGTTAGCTAGTGCGTCTTGTCCAAGGAGTGTCTTATCTAGCCTGAACCTTAGCTCGGATATACATTGCACGCTTCATCTCTTTTCGAGACGAAAAGTTGGCGGCTTTCAAGGTCCTTTCATCTGCGAACTATATCTCATGTTAGAGTGCCAACGAGGAAAATGAAGGAGTGAATGAGACCCATACATTTGCGGCAGCTAGAGACATGCTCCACAAGAGATGCAGGCTTAGGTCGTTGCGTGCATTTTCAAACGTATCAATGAATGAACGGGCATCGACAACTGGGAAAAAAGGATGGACATAGTGGAAATACGTCTGTATGATCATTTCGCAGACAGCAGGAGTGGGCAAGTCGAAGACGCCCTTATAGCGCAGGTAGTCGATCGTTCCCTGGTCCATATGTGTTGGGCTGATACGTGGGACGAGGAAGTGACCGCTCTTCCTCCTTGGGTCCGGTTCGCAGATGTCGACTACTAAACCAACGCCCCGAGGGTCACCTACATGATAGAATCAGCATCGTGGACCATCACTGGCACAAGGATTCCAGCTAGATATCTGATCTCACCATATATTGGGGAATAGCACTCATCTGCCACCTCCCCATCTGTTTGTGAGGTGCACGTACCACCTCTATTGTGATGGCTGAAATGCTCGTTGAACGGATGATAAGGTGTTTCGGTGCCATCTCCAGTATCATCAGCCGACGGAGCTGTGGGATTCTGTCCGTTCCGCACAGATATATTCTCCGACGCAACGAGGCGCTCGGGACCGGGTGAAAAGCTGTGACCTTTCTGTGGAATACACCGTACCGCGGGAATGCCATTCGACATCGAAGGTGCCGCGCTATGATTGTAAGACGACGATTGTAGTCCGGGTCTGCCACGGTAGCTCGTTAGTGTGTCTGCCGAGGAGCTCTTCGGTCTGAGCTTGCCAGGTCGCTTACCTTAATCTCCTGCTCTCCCGCGGCACACATGAGACATCATCCAAGGAGCAGTTGGCGCAGGGTTGGCCAGTTTGTGGGAGACTGCACCTTACTTTTCGGGCGTGGCATGACGCGCAAGCCACAGGTGCTCGTTTTCTGGACCGTAGCGTTCTGCCAGAATTCCGCGTGCTCTCTACTGAAGAGTTGGGCATCATGAAAATGAGCAGTCGGGCCTTCGCAAATGAATTCAGTAGGACGCATTCAGCACCAATGCGGGAAGGTTGCCGCGGATAAGTATTAGTTTGGAATTGGGTGGACACATGCTGGGCCTCGGCAACAGCTAAGCGGCAAGTAAGGTTGTCTAGTTGGTGGTGGTTAGTCATGCGACGCCCAGATGGCTCGGGGTATACTGAGGCCTGAGGCGACCAATAGTTACTGTGACTACGCATAAGTTTTTAATGCACCCTTAGACCCACTTTTAGACCGCCTACTATTTCAACCGCCTGCCTAAAAACATGTTGGAGCGAACCATGCCAGCCACTCTCGGGGGGGCTTTCCGACCGGCAATATATTATGTAATACGGGTATGGGTGTTAAAAACCTATGCGTAGTCACTGTAACTAGTTAACGTAGTCAAATAACTAACTTAGTCAACTCAACTCTGGATTACCAATTTTCAGACTACTTTCAATGCCGCCCATTCATACTTATTCTGCCGGCCTCTGACTCACGCACTTGTCTAGATTGAAAGTCAAGGACCTCGACGCTCAAATCGGCCTAACACAAGCGATGGAATGTCGCTTCATGAAGTATTATTTCGAGTTTTTGGTCACTTCATCACTTGTGAATGACAGCAGATTCTAATGGCGCTGATTGTCCAAATTCGCCGACAGTGCCGTCATCCTGAATGGGATAGGTCAAAGAGTCGAAAGTTACCATTGGTTTACTAGTAATCTTAAATCATGTTCGAGGAGGCAGAATTGGAGAATAATAATAAGTGCGGCATTTTCATAAGTGAGAAAGAATTCTTGCTATGTTACTAAAGCATAATCTGCTCTGTGGCCTTCTGTATCTACAGTTATGAACAGATGACACTCAGAATATTTACACTTAAAAAAGAGAAGGTAGATTACGAAATCTTGTAGAGCGAGGCAAAGAATCTAATACAGGAACACAACTCAAAGCTACATAAAACGCAGGGTACAATCAGAGGCCAACAAGCGAAGCGCTGGTTCCCCGGGGCCTAGCGGTAGCATGCGTTTGTCACAGTACTCAACAAATTCAAAGTCGAGATGTTTTGCTCTTAGACAGAGCCTCGCTCATCTTGGCCTGTGGAATGCCCTGGCAGAAACGGTCGAGGCCACCGAACATTTCGAGCGGTGCTTGCTCGTCCTGCTCCCTAACCAAGCGACGACGCATGAGAGACTTGGTCCCCAGAAGGCTCGACTTCACTAAATGTTCGCCGAATGTCTGCTGCAGGTAGCCCATGACCTGTTCACGGAAGTTGCCTTTACCCTCGAAGACTTTGTTCACAAAACCGACCTGTGCCAACTCACAGACCGGGATCTTCCTACCAAGAAGGAGTGCCTCGTTCGCTTTACCCTGACCCATTCGCTGCACAAATGCGACACTGGAGCCGCCTTCGGCAACAAGGCCGAGAGAGGTGAAAGGAGTCATCAAATAAGCATCGGATGCCGCGTAAATAAAGTCCGAGTGAGATATCAAGGCTGCAGAAAGACCAATAACAGGCCCGTTCAGAGCAGTGACAAGGATCTTCGAATGGCTGTAGAACGCTCTCGCCACGTCAACGTTGTTGTTCACCAATTTGGGGAGCCAGTACTGGCGAGATAAAATCTCCTCCATAGATGGGGGTCTCCCTTTAAGGTCAGCCCCTCTTGAATCTGCATCAGCATCTCTTCGCACCTTGCACCTTTTCGCCTCAGGGAAAAAGAACTCACGCCGAGAAGAAGGGGCCTTCACCGATCAAGACAGTAACGTAGACCTCTGGGTTTTCTTCGGCCTCTCGAAGCAAGCCTGCAAGGCGGTAATACAGACTCTGTGTCAAGGCATTGAACTTTGTTGGGTTGTTCAGCGTGATAACCGCAAAAATGCCGTTGACATCAAGGCGAACAAGATCTTCATCAGCCATGGTTTAATAGAGTTGTTCGGTTTGATGATTGAAAACGAGAAGACTTTGAGAGATGTGCTTATGATATTTTGGTTTATGGGTTATTATTGATTCTTTTAAGTTGTCTTTTCAGCAATCTACTTCGGCTGGAGTTCCCGCGGCTATTGAGTGGGTACCTTTAGTGCCGCGGAAACACCCTCTATCCTCTCCTTGGCACGAATAAAAGTCGCTTTTGGGCAAGCCTGGGCTCGTTAAGCACTTGCCGGGGACCACAGGATGGAATAAATATCGATTTCGTTCAGAAATTTTGCAGCTATAGCAACCTACATACTATTTTGGTCCATTTGCATCGGTCATAACCTCTGATTATCGCCATGAGTCTCTGGATGTGGTGCCTCGGCCTGATACTAGGTTTGAGTCTCAAGAATTTACCATTCATGTGGCATGTAAGCCTCGAATTGCCTTTCCTTTCTCCTATACATTGAGTCTGACTTTTTCAGTTTCGATTTTTTGGTGCTTTTGCAATGGGCTACCTCTCCCGCAAAAGATCACGCTGTGTGCTTAAACAGCACCATGTCTTTCTCCCAGCAGTGCTCAAGTCACGCTCTCCGGTGACAGAATGTGACTTCAACCTTCATAAATCAAACTCGACCTACATCACCGATCTCGACGTATCCAGAGCGCATCTCAGCGGGCTGCTATTTGCGCCCATCTTCTTGAATTTCATAGATTCGATGCATTGCAACTTGATCGTCAGTGGGATTGCATGCACCTTTCACAGAGAAATCAAGCCGTACCAATTGTACGAAGTCTGGAGCAGAATTGCGAGCTGGGATGATAAGTGGATTTATGTGGTCTCGCATTTTGTCGCTAGTAGCAAACACTTGCCTAGACTCTACGTCATGCAAGGGGATCCTTCGATCAATAGCAAGCAGATGGAAGAACTGGCACATCCTGAAGATGAAAGACATAAATATGTCTTTATGTCTGCTGTGACTCGGATGGTTTTCAAAAGAGGTCGGTTGACTGTACCTCCTCAACGCGCTTTGGAAATCTGTGGTATTCTATCGGTCGAATGCCCAACCGCATCATCTCGTACGGCCGACAGAGCCGGGGCAACAGATTCAGCCATCGGTTGCCCTGAATGGACACTTGAAGAGATCGAGTCCTCTAGATATGCAAATCTCCCGGTCGTGCGGCTCGAAAGGGGCTGGGATGCCGTCCGTGAGCTCTTCCGACAAGAGCGGGTTGCGTTGACAGAGCATAGGGGCTTCATGTGGTGAAAATCAGGCTGAAAAACGGAGGAATATACAGTAGAGCTCTGTGTCTTTGTAAACAAAGATTATTGGAATAGTTTACCTCTGTCGGAAGTGTTCTGTATGACATAGTCCCCATAAAGCCCGACCGAAAGGACTCCAAATCTCTAAATAGCATCATCAGACGGGAAATCCCGAAATTCCAGAGCGGTTTAAAGCGAGACTGGTGGAACTATTCTTACTTTATGCTAATTTAATGTGCAATACACGGAACACCTTGAAATCCAGGATTTGGATTCATCGGCCAGTGCGCGCCTCGTTATGCTAGTGTGATTCCCTATCGAATTCGGTAGACATCGGATGGATGGCCAAAGATGTACCACTCTTGAATGCGTGTGCCGCCGGCTATTAGTCGTCAAGCGTGGCATACCTCTTAGTAGCAGGTCAATCCCCAAGCGCGGCCGTCACTTGGACTAGACGCCGCCAATGGACAGCCTAGGCTTTACACTAGTCCGATCTATGAGATGCTCATACAAATGCCCATATTTCGGTTGATAGCGCCAATTATTTCAGGTCTTTCGGAGAAGAGATATTGAGAGTACGAGAGGGAACATTTAGTACCAATGATGACATGGTGGTTACCGTAGGAAGACATGTTGACGACGAACCTAGAGACTCTGGAATTCGAGGTACTAGATCTAGATAAGAGGAGAAAAAGAAGCAAAAGAGAAAAGCATAAACAGCCTATTGGCCACTGAGATAAACAATCATCAAATGTTCATCCCGGCAACACCGCGTGGACATCCAACTAGGCATCAGAAAAGTGTGAAAGGTCACAGCAGAATCAGATCACACGTAGATTATACCGCGGCCAGGTAAAATTTGGTCTAATCCTTGGGCAACCCGGGTGTCTCCGCGAGGCGCAGAACATACTTCGTCGCGGACGCCTTACCCGCCTCAAGATCCTTCAACGCACGCTCAAGTCCAGTTAGCCCTCCTTGAACAACTTCGTAAGGATGTCCCGAGAACCAGCCATGGCCTAGGCCAAGGCTGATCAAATTGTAAATGGTGGCACCAAACTCTGCATCCCCCACATGAGTTCCCTCATTTGCCGGGGCATGGATAGAGGTAGCATTGGATCCTAGCACCGTGATTCCCCCAATGTCCTCGTCAGCTTGGGGTATGACACTCATGATCTTCCCGCCATTCGGGGAGACAACTTTACAAAGCATCTCCAAACTCGCTTTGTCAGAAACAGCGTCGTAGGCGTAAGAGATGGCATGCGATTTAGCAGTCTTTTGAAGCTGCTCGGTAACGTGATTGGCTCCCTGGCGGTAGTCAATGACTATGTCGCCCTTGCGACTGTCAAGCAAGGTCTCCACGTAGGGAATACCCTTTCCAGCGATAGCGATAATGGGATGAATGTTGGATAGGGTTGCGAACTTGATGGCAAAGGCTCCCACGGCCGTCGCAGCTCCATTGACCACTAACGGTGTTGGGACAGTGACCGGATCCCATGGGAATGGTAGGCGAAGACTCCGGTAGACGCCAAGAGCCGCGGTCATGCCAGCAAGCGGGATTGTGGCACCCTCTAATTAGTTGTCAGAGATAAGCTTGCATGTACTAGATATATCACCAGCGGCGTACCTTCAAAGGCTGTGGTAGCGGGGAGATGGAAGGCTGCCTTGGCGGGCGCCACGGAGTACTCTGCATAACTACCATGAGGAGCAAATATCTGGTGGAAGGCAGCGACACGGTCACCCGGACGATAACCAGTGACTCCTTCGCCGACTGCCTCAACATAGCCGGCGATGTCGTCGCCATGATTCGCTGCGTCGCCACCCGGACGAAAACCAGTGACTCCTTCGCCGACTGCTTCAACATAGTCGGCGATGTCGTCGTCACGATTCGCTGCGTCGCCACCCATTAGTTTGGGCATTTTCCAGTCCTTGGGGTTTGTGCCCGACACAACTGTGCGTATGAGGAGCTCGCCTGGCCCAACTGCAGGCACGGGAACTTCGCGAATTTCGACATTCAGATCTTTGTTGATGTACGCTTCCTTCATAGTTGTTGATGCTGCGGGTGTTGTTGTTCAATAGTCGGCAGGGCTTTTCCTAGGTAGGATGGCTAAAGGTTTGCTCTAGGCTGGAGGTCGTGGCAGACTGAGCTTATATACCCTACAGTGTCTAACACAACCGACTCTACAAAGACTCTCAGACGCTGGGTCTGGACCCGAGGTTACTGTTTGACCAATTTTCTGTTGGAGGGAGACAAGACAAATTCAGAATCAACTAGGTAGTTTCATTCATGCACACATAGGTTGTCATTCAGAAACTTCCGATCAAGTAATCTTCCTTTCCAGGACAGCTCTAGCGAATCGGATGTACTCATAACTCGATCCGACCAAAGAATTGATGAAAAAAAAACCCCCGAATTATCTTGATGACAAACCGCTTTTGCCATCGATTTTGTCTGACTGTTTGCTTCTTGTGCCATCATTGGTCCGGATGGGTTTCACAAGCCATTATGTTCAACAACAGGGAAACTTTAATTTGAGTTATTCAATCTTAGTAATTCCCAGGAATTTAAACTTGCGATAAGAATAAGCCTTTGATGGGCTACTCCACACATTCTCCACAATTTGTCTCATTGATTTATCAGCAATCTTGACAGAGCGCAGACCCAGAATTTCTAGCCTTGACTACTTTGTGTCTGATCAGGGCCTCTCCCCACAAATCCCTCAATTGTTTCTATCCACTTCACAGAGATGGAAGGGGTGCGAACGTGGCGCCGCGGCCGTCCGCGAATTCAAGACGAAAAAAGTGTGAATGACGTTGAGCAGGTCAGTTGCGCGGGGCGAACAGGCATGCTTTGCCTCGCTGAATCAAGCTAATGAGGGTCTGTCTGCTTCAGAAGAAAAGGGTACAGATGCGCCTCGCGCAAAGGTCGTATCGGGCCCGGAAAGAAAAAGCACAACAATCAGAAAAGATTCGGGCTCAAGGGCTCAACAGTGCTCTTGATGATACATTTGAAATCTTTTCCACGCTCCATCAGCGAATTGTCAATACCTCGCAGATACAAAATACGCCGGATATTCTCCTTCATTTGAATGATGCCTCTAGACAGATGGCTGCTATTGCATCTAGCTGCAACAAGGACTTACAATTGCAAAATAATCCGATGAATATGAGCCCAAGCTCTCCCGAACAAGCGCATGGAACGACAAGCCAACCACCAGCTACTGACGTGATCAGAGGACAAGACAAAGAGTGGAGGCCACAGCTTCCACTTGCAGCGCAGCTTCCAGCTTCATATCCGTTAGTTACCAGAGATTCCAGGCTTATGGCTATATCTCTACGGACCAAAACCTCCAGTAAGATCTCGTTGCCAGCAAGGTTTATTCGAGCGTGCTTCAAGCGTGCAGTAACCATATTATCTAGCAGCGCAGTGCATGGCAGCCAACAACTAGTCCTGACTCTTCCTCTTCAATGGCTAGGAAAAGATGCTGTGATCATCAATTCTTTGCAAGTTCTGGAGTCATTCCTTCCTTCTGTGGCTGATTTTCAGTATCCATTACACTCCGCTCCCGGGCAACCGCACATGTACCGTGTTGTTGAGGGTGGGACTAAGACCCTGCCCAGAGCGCCGGCTCCTTTGTTGCAGCGGATAGCGAAGGGCAGAACAAGGACAATGCTAGACACGCATTTTCTGCCACTCCAAGGAGAATGGCTCGAGGCCGTGGATGTGGAGGAGTACCTGGAAGAGCGGGGAATCTATATCCGCGACGCTATCCGGGACGACATGACTTCAACCGACGAGACTTTATACGAAAACATCGCCTCAGGCATCGAGCAGAATACACCTGTACTCGCTCCGTCAAGTACACCCTCACAGCTAGATGTATCGCTATCTACCGACTTCCGTGGGCACGAGGCTTCGGACTATTCTGTCTTTGGGCTTCCGTGGGTAAAACCATTGACACGTTCTGCCAATGGCCAGCCCCTTCCAAACACTATAGCAGATGTTCCCTCAACTGAATTATCGAGCGTTCCGCAGTCGAGTTTCAAGCCCCAGGCAACCCAAATTCCTACAAAAGCGTCTCAAATCAATGTCGACCTTGATAAACTGATACATCTGCTCGCGGAAAACGCTATGTGCCTTGGTCCCACCCCCGGAATTAGGAAGGCGGCGGTGGATGCTTCTATTCGAGGGTCTGTAATTTTATCTTGAGAGTCGCCACGTGCAGAACATTACAACATGAGGAACCACCCACTGTCTGTACCCGCCATACAATATCTGCGCACAAGCCAATTACGCAGAAAGAAAGAACAAATCCCCAGCCAATGGCAACTGAGAAATCACTCTCCGCTCAGCTATCTTCCAGTCTTCCTGGCCGTCAAAAGAATCTTTGACAAGCTTGTCCTGATACATGCCCCAAGTAGTCATGGATTTTCCTTCGTCCTTGCCCACGCCGAAGAGAACGGTCGTGACATAAGTCGTAGCATCGGCCGTTTTGTCGCCAGTAAGCTCAATCAGTTGCGTGCTCAAAGCATGCTGGGTTTGAAAATTACCCACCATACCCCGTACTGCGAACTTGAGTGCTGCAATGCCTTCGATGCTGCCGATAGGGTTGGGGAAGGATGCCTTGACGTTGTTCGTGAAGGCTTTTGAGAAGATTTCCTAGTCCCTGAGATCGACACCAAGGCAGTAGCGTGAGATACAATTGCGGATGATTTCGTGGTCTGCGGTAACTGGGGTCATTGTGATCCGACTTTCGTTAAGAGACTTTGGCCGGGAAATCGGTGTCGAGAAAAGTGTTGCAAATGCGTCTTGGTGACGGGTCAGAGCAATACGGCCGAGTCCGGCAATGTGCTGGCCAAGCTATGATGTCTAGGTAGATGCGACTTAATTGGACCGTATGTGAGCGCTCCTGATTCGGGGAAATCCGTATAGAAATATGTGTTGAATCTCGGAAGCTACGGCCGTCAAGTCCGCAAGTGAATTACAAATCTGAGTAGTTAGAGTTTCGAAGACAAAATACCATGCTTTATCAGCCGTCTGAGCTCAGGTTCGGGCGATCCGCGGCTGGAACGATGGCCGCACATGACCACCGTTTTGATCAAAGACCTTCCGACTGGAAGGCATTTTAATTAACCTGAATAAAGAAGTTTACAAATTGCGAGAACAGCTCCTGTGCCCAACGTCCCTTCATCCACTATACTTTGGATAAAGTGCTCGGGCCCGGCTAATCTGGCCAATGATTCACATCGGCCTACTCTGGTCATGCTAGTTGATTGCGTTTGGCGGACCAATTTAGCTGCTTAACTAGCTGTAGGCCTTTTTCAACAAATGGACCTCCCTCATAGGGTACGTTGTTCCTCAACTAATAGTATTTGATATCAATCCTGCTCGATAGAACACTGCTGTTGTATCGTTTAGTCCTTATTGCTCTCCAAAATTTATCTAATTTACACAACCCTCGCCACAATGAGGGATAACTTCTTGCCCGATCTAACTGCCACAGGCCAAGCATATTGGTCGCTTAGCAGGCTTAGCTCTTCAAGCCGAAGTTTGAGCGGCTGTTGAATATTCAACTAGCCGAAGTCCCTTAGACATCTTCCCTCCAGTCAAATAGGTCGTGACTTCGCTCGGGTGAACCCAGTTCATGATCAACATAACCCCTAACATGAGAACAGCGTCGAAGAGGTATATGAAGATTTCATGACTGATGACATAGCCGTCAAGACCTTGAATAAATTCGACGACCCGAACAATCGACCGAACGAAGATAAGAAGGCTAGTGGCGTACAGTGCAAGGAGATGCCGAAGGTACGGTGGCTGGTGAGTGAGTACCCTCTGTGTCGGGGCACGGTGTAGCCGCATATGAAACAAGACCGCCGTGATGATAAAGCAGCCGAAGAAGACAATCTGTACGAATAGACCGCCCACGATGACATGGCTTCCGGTGGCTCTACTGTCAGGTTTGTCAGAGCCCATCAAGCCACCACCACCCCCCTGCATGAAGAAGGAGAGAACGTCACCGGTCACGAATATACCGGTTAGCCACCGTCTCCGAACGAAGAGGTAACGTTCACCGTCAACGAGTTCGACAATGCGTCCAAGCTCCATGTAGATCGATGCAGCGAATAGGGCTGGTGCAACGAGAAGGAAGATGCTCTGGACGACGTAGGCTCCAAGTGTCCCAGGAATTGTTCTTCCTATGTAACCGATGACTTCGACTAGAAAGCAGATGACATTGGAAGTCAGGGCCCAATCTTTTGGGTTCAGCCAAGGGGACCAAGAAACTCACATATTCCTCCACAGCAGAATGCGACGAAGAACCACATGCGCGTCTTCGCCATCTGGATGAAGTGTAGACCAGTACTTGCTGTAAAAAGGATGATGAAGATAACCGCAGCTGCCAGGGATGGCTCATAGTGGTAGAGATGATAGGCCATGGTGGCTATTTTGCTTGGTATGTACGTTGGTTTTTACTTCGATGATCTAGGAAATTTTTCAGTAAGCAAATCGATAAACATGAGTGATGATGATGTAGCTTTTATATATGGAACGCCAAGGAAGCTGCTTGAGGCTTAGGGGACGACGGACGCGGTTCAAGTACGAGGAAATTGAGATCTTGAAAGTCTCGGATCGGAAATCAACACGGCTTTCTATGGTGACCGAAGAAACTTATTTCCCGTGGCAGGAATTTCCAACAGTGCCTGTCGTAGTATATCGGGTAACCTTCGTACACTATACCTCATGAGGCTTAGTTCCCGAGTTCCAAAATGAGTCGCCTCATGTGAACTGAACTGGATTCTTGGGGCCCTCGAGTCCTGAAACTAAGCTGCCTTGAGCCACACTACGGGCTTCCGGGAGATGCTAAAAACTCATACTCTGTAAGCTTCCCCGGGTCTCCCGGTTGGGTCGATAGGAGTCTCGGGGAAGGAGATCCACGCTTCACCGCCATCAATGCCAAGACTTCCGTCAAATATTCAGGCAACAACTTAATAACCCCTATCTCTGCCATTCTTTGGCTCGTATATCTCGGATTATTTCTCGCATCTACGGGATTTGCAACGAGAACGCAGAGATTGAATCCAAGGGCCGAAAACGCTTCAATAGCAATGCCCTCCAGACAGGGCCAGTCAAAGTCTCGGCACGGCTGCACTCGTTGTAAGCAACGGCGAGTCAAGGTATGAGTAGTTCATTCGCCGCCAGTGCTGCTCTCTAGTTGCATTTATTCCAGACTCCCGAGCCTTCCGAATTTGCTGACCGTTCTGGGGCAGTGCAATGAGCTCTCTCCCTGCCAGAATTGCACCCGAAGAAAAGAAGAATGTAGCCTCTCCCAAGACCAAGGCATCAACATAATCCCATCTTCAAGAGCACAGGTAAGAAAAGCCAGCTGGGGCTACACCAGGCTCTAATTAAGCTGCACAAGGCGTCAGCATAACCCTTGTTGTTTAGTTCCCTCTTCATTCTCCAAGTCTCATCGATTCAAACTTTCTTTCACACCTTTTCCCCAAGTCAACTCAAAGGCAGTCTGATGAGGCAACGTGGGGAGAAGACCTCTTCCTGATGGGTCATTTCACCTCTTCCACGGCCTATACAATATCTCCCCGGACAGAGGTTCTCCAACTATGGCAGAAGGTGATCTCCGAGGACGCTATCTCTTGCCCCTTTCTAGCCCACGGCATACTCGCCTTTTCCGCTCTACATCTAGCCAGTCTGCGGCCATCACAGCGAGAAAAGTACGAGCAACGCTGCCGGCGTCATCAGAATGAAGCAATTCCCGAATATCGACGTGTTATCCAAGACATCAGGCCTGGGATCGCCGGTCCGGTGTTCGCTATGGCCTCTTTAGTCGTTCTTCTCGGCCTGGCTACAATTTCAGACAATGCTCTTCCCAAGGAAGATACGCTTTCCCGCCATCGCCCGGACTTGACCGACGTCAAGGCTTTATTTACTATTGTAAGGGGCCTGGAGGCTGTTCTGAAGCATGGAACAGCCGTGTGGGACACTATCACCAACAGTTGCTACAGGGTCGCCATGACTGGTCATACGGCCATAAGCGGGCAAGTTCTTGAGCTTCCCGTGGACGTCCAGCTACGATACCAGCAGTTAATGACGGATTGTCTGGACAGTCTCCTAGCAAGAGAAAAGTCTGCTAAACTAGCATGTTTAGACGCTATCGAGTCGTTGCAGGGCATTCATAGTGAGCTTCTATTTCTGGTTTCCGAAAATGGCTCTGAGGAGGTTGAACTTGAACCAGCATACGTGGTTAAATGGCTCGCATTGGTACCTTCTGAATTTGTTACTTTGCTGCAGGAGGAAAACACCGCCGCTCTTATCATATTAGGGGACTTTTTCGCCCTTTTTCAGTTGCTAGAAAATATGTGGTTCTTAAAAAATGTTTCGACAAATGCACTCAATGCGATACAAGAGGTCATCAACCCGAGGGGGCTGGTCTGGCTGAAGGGTTCGGAAAAGCAGAGAATGAAGTTAGCTCGCCAAAATCTAGTTATTTCTTGAATGACCGCAACCTTACGATCTGTCCGGCCGAATCAATTGTGGTATCTGTCAACACTTCCGAAAGATCGCAAAATTTCGCAGAATCCTTTCAATCATCCGTTCGCTGTGTTCAACTGCCTCCGGCCTTTACGATGTAGTTGGTGATTGGCTTCAATTTCAATGATGAAACGTAGCTTAAATCTGGGACAGGCTGGGTGTCGTATGGGTAGGGTCTAGCCGTCTAAACAGCGTTGCTGCCAAACATAGACAGTAGACAATGGAAAACTGACAGAATATATAGCCAACGTAGAGAGGTACATCCGAAGTTCGGAACATTGCAGCACCGTCCTTTGCCTCATCGCGTTACTCCGTTCGGGAGTTAGTCAACGGTGAAATCTCGCGAAACCCGCCCCCTCCTCTCCCACATCTAGGCGTTACACGGCTGAACAAGCTGTAAAGGCGGCAAACTCAATCTAATAATAGAAGACTTTATAAGAGATCGTAGCAATAGCATGAAAGTACAGAATAGCGAATCCGTGCCTGGTCAGTTGCAAGCCCTCTGAAATGTGAATAAATTGCTTGGTATGACGGACCCTTTCCCCGCAGGTCCCATTGAAAGTCCGTATGATCCCTTGCGTACTCTTGAGGCGTATAGATGCATGTAGTAAAATAGTCCCAATCACTGCAATACCTAGTTAGTGAATGAAAGTTTGATTTTTGGGAGAGATTGAATACATACATAGATCAAACAGTTCAGACATTTTATATTGAAATATCTTGCGAGCGTCGATCTTGCAGGTGATTTCAAAGCTTCAAGCTCCTTTTCCGATAATGATATTCGAATAGTGTGGAAAAGATCAGACATGCTTGACGCTCTGTGTCTGGTTCATCGAAAACCCCCTTCTAGTAACGGCTTTTCAAGGCGTACGGCTATCAGCGCCAATATTTCAAATGGAAGGATCACCAATCCAGCCATCTTGCACCGGGGTACAATAGTCTTGTTAGATGGGAACCTTTAGGGGAATAGGCAGAATATGTTACTCTGGTAACTCCAGACTGATTTCGATTTCCCTATCTGTCCCGACCCCACGGTGTTTCCTTGCACGACTATACTAGGTGGCTGATCAGCTAGTATCTTTCTTATTTGGCGGCGTTCTACACTAGCCACCTAAGGAGACTATCGTTGAGGATATAGTCGGCTCCTTCTGCAAAGTCAAATCTAATAGTAAGCGATGCGAATTTTTCCGAGCACCTTTTTCCTTCCGCATAAGCGAATTAAACAGTTCGGTTTAGGAGCCTTGTCCGCTAAGTTGCGTTTGTTTATAATTTGACAGAAAACTGGTGTACGAACAATATATGGTATAGATGGCCAATGTTGACAACTCTAACTAAAATAACAAAACCGGCTATTTTAACAATCTGTGCGGATATTGATGACTAACTGTAATATACACTTTTGTATAGTATGCCCGGTACCTAATATCATATAATGTTTCTAGTATAATACCTGGTTTCTACTATATATCCGGACTTAGTATTCGATATACCCCCTAAAGACTATATTTTCCTAGCTTTAAGAGCTATGACTTCCTTTAATTCTAAGCCTTGTAACAGCCTTAATTTCATCACTTTTTCGGCCTTCTAATGGCCTCTGTTTCCTAGATTAGATGACTAATCTCTCTTATCCCAATTAGCTCTCTAAAGAGATACTACTTCTACCTCAGAAGAGCCTTTATAAGGCTATCTACTAGTATAGCCGTAGTCAGAGCCTAGTCTATATTGACTCGACCCTCGCTAACCTCCTATCTTATCTAGTAACGATTAATATTAATATACCGGAGCTTTATATATATCGCCGCCCCTTCCTTCGTTAACAAATCGACCGGTTACTAGTTATTATATATAATAGGTAGTAGGTAGTTAGGTTAGAAGCCTAATATAGTGAGGACTCGACGCTACTACTATATAGTCTTACCTACCTCGGCTAGAGCTAGTAGCTCTACCTCGGTAGTCGACGTAGTTACTATCTTCTACTTCGTCGCTTTCTAGTCGATTAGGCAATTATATAGCTTATAGATATAACCCTCGGAGCTCTTCCTATCTTTATTGTTAGCACTTTAGCAGATATAATATTATAGCCTAGAAGTAGGTTATAATATTTTAGTAGGGAAGTGGTATTAGGTAATCCTTATAGCTTATATAATTATATTATATAAGATATAAGCAGTTATACTTAGCTGAAATAGGAAGTAAATATCGTGAATAGAAGTCAACTTGATTGTTATTATGCTTATATTATCATAATATACCAGCTAAGCAAGGAATTTCGATTCCTTATATAGCTAGTTAGGAGGCAATTATGAGATAATATAATATCTCATAATGTTATAATATGACTTCACTATATATAGTAAATATCATAATATGATCTCACTATATATAGCAGATGATAGTGAGTCATAATATAGTTTTACCATATAAAATATATCTAAGGATCACTTAGATAGTACCGGTAAAATATATATAGGCTCCTTTCCCACCATAATATATATATACCATAGTATGTATCCCATATATAATAATATTATGCTAACAATGCTGCATAGATTGTTGAAATAGTGGGTTTTGTCATTTTAGTTAGTTAGAGTTGTCAACATTGGTTATTTATACCATACATTATTCGTACACCAGCTTTCTGTCATTATACTATAATCGATTTAATATTAGCTAACTATATATCCTATATTATTATATCCTTTAGTATTACTTTGACCTCAATTCGACGATAGCTGATTTTAATAGAACGATTCCGGGCTTATAACTAACGGAAAGCTAGTATACGAATAATATATGGTATAGATAACTAATATTGACAACTCTCTAACTAACTAAAATAATAAAATCCGCTATTTCAACAATCTATACGGACCAAGATGACTAACTGTAATATGCACTTTTGTATGGTATGTCTGGTACCCAATGTCACATGATGTTTCCGGTATATTACCTGGTTTCTACCATGTATTCGCACTTGGTATTCGACAAAAACCCCTTAAGTGCCTTGGTAATAGGCACTCGCTACCAATGACTTGGCCGAGTGCTAAGAAGTACTGGCCTAAGGTATCTAGCAAGTTGTTGTCTCGGGCACCAATAGTAAGCAAACCCTACAAACCTCTCGGGAGCACAATATTGCCTCATAGAGATCACCTGGGTAGGAACTAACCCAATTTGGAAAGGTCCACGGAATTGATGTGGCTGACTAATACCTTGGGGGCGGTAAACCAATTGCTCCACCGGAGTTTTGCCAAGTTCTGCCGAGCTTTGCCGTTCGCTGGGCTCGGTCGAGGTGACCATTTGTTCCGTGCCGTCAGTGGCAGAACGCCTCTTGAGCTTGACTGGACTCACGGCCCTTAAGTTACATCCTTCGCAGTCGCCCCGGAATAGGGGCTCGGATCTTCCCCCTCATTATCCATCGTCCGCTTTGTTCAACTATCCAATGGTTGACCTGTATGTCAATCACACCACCTGCATTCGGATAAATCCTGGTCTCGCCAGGACCTTTACCCCGGTTTCCGTCCATTGCCCCCGCCCCCTAGCGTCCAAGCCATGCGGAGGTAGTTTAGCGCAAATTAGGGAATGTTTATTGTGATCCGAACGGAGCTTCTCATAAAATGCCTGTACCCCTCCGTGGGCTCCGTTCATTAGTTTGCCCTGCCCGGTTCACCCTTCGTTTTCTTCTCCTCTTTTGTATCTTGTTTCTCTCGGTTACAACTCTCCTGGGACTCAAAATGCATCTCAAATCGTATGTCACAGCCGCCCTTTATGGGTTGCCTGCCCTGGCCAATGCTGTGCCATCACCATCTCACTCCCAGACCGCGTCTCCCTCGCCGTCTGCTGCTGGCTCAAATGCCGATCACTTCAAAAGCTATACGATCAAGGCAGAAAATATCACTGCCAAGCTTATTCCGTATGGCGCGCGTCTCACCTCCTTGCTAGTTCCAGATCGTGACGGCAATGTCCAAGATGTCGTCGTTGGGTACGATGACCCCAAGGAATATCTGCATGATAGTGAAACCAATCGCACGTTCTTCGGCGCGGTTGTCGGTCGCTATGCCAACCGTATCCAGAACGGTACCTTCACTATTGATGATGATACCTACCACGTTCCTGAGAATGAAAACGATGGCGTGGATACCCTCCACGGTGGCTTCGTCGGATATGATATGCGCAACTGGACAGTCACTTCACATAGCGAATCCTCCATTACCTTCACCTTGCTCGATCAAGGCTTTGAGAAATTCCCAGGAGACGTCATCACCCATGCTACTTTCAGCGTGTCTACCGAGAAGACTCAATCCAACCCCAAGGGACTTCCCCAATTGACCTCAAAACTGGTGGCTCTTTCTTTAACAGAGAAGACCCCCATCATGCTGGCCAATCACATCTACTGGAACCTGAACGCGTTTAAAGAATCCAACGTGTTGAAGGACACCACCCTGCAACTTCCTCTCTCACAACGGTTCGTCGGTGGAGACAGCATCTTGATCCCGAACGGCACTATCCACGACGTTGAGAATACCTACCAAGGAGCTTTGGACTTCACCAGCCCCAAACTCATCGGCAAGGACATCGAGAAGACATACGACCTCTGTGGCGCCGGCTGCACAGGCTACGACACATGCTTCCTCGTCGACCGACCCTCAACCTACGCGTCGAATTCGTTGGCCACGGTCCTGAGCGCCTCGTCCAGCTCCACCGGTATCAGCCTCGACGTCGCTACCAACCAGGCCGCGCTGCAAATCTACACCTGCAGCGGGCAGAACGGCTCCATCGCCACTAAGAAGTCGCAGGCCAAGCGCAACAAGGATGAGGGTGGTGACGCCGGTGCCACCCACGTTAACAAGTACGGATGCTTCGTTATCGAGACCGAGGACTGGATCGATGGTATCAATAACCCTGAGTGGGGTCGTATCCCCTACCAGGTCTTTGGTCCTGATGATGGGCCCGCCGTTAACTGGGCT